CTGAATAACTCAAATTTGATCAATTAAATGCCTACTATTATTGTAAATCTATAATTCATAAATAAATAATGGTTTATGTTTTATATTTTATCCAACTGTACCCCATCTAAGTCTTGCCATGGCTTTTATGTACACTTTATTTCCCGTGACTGTTAAAATTAGTAGCTCTCTGGAATTTTTGTTTCTTAAATGTAGCTCACCTGGAGACCCCTGACCTAAACAGATGACAATTTTTGCCTCACTTTACTGTTGGCAGGGATCAGATTGGTCAAATATAAGGACACCTGGGAGATTTCTTGTATAAAACTGGGACAAATCAGTGGTTTTGGATAAATCTGCTTGGACAGGGGACACAGGGCTCAAAACAGACTGCCCTGGATAAATAGGGATGTCTGGTCACCCTAATTAAGTAACAATACAAAAATGGGTATTGTTACCCATTTTTGTATGCCTACTGTTGCTTATTAACCTCATTTAGTTATAATGAATGGTAGAGTGACCACACTTCCCTATTTGAACCCTGTGTCCCCTGTCCCAGCAGATTTATCCAAAACCACTGATTTGTCTGACCAATCTGATCCCTGCCAACAGTAAAGAGAGGCATACATACAGAAAAGCTGCTTAAAAATGACCAAAACACAAAGAAAATGTGACTATACTGACTCACATTAGTGTCGAGTGCAGAACAGTTTTCCTTTACTTTTTATGCACTTATTTCACAACCGACCCAAACCAGGGATGTCCCAGTTTTTTATCTTGAAAATCTAGTCACCCCATTAAAGGGGCACATGTAAAGATTTCTGGTGGTGTTTTATGCTTGTCTAGATGTTACAGTTTGCCAAAAATGTTCCACAGCAGTAAATCTACATGTATTCAGCATTATTAAAACTATTTTAATTTTTTTGCTTAAAAATACCTTAAAAAAACATCTCTTCACAGATCTCACCTGTAACTTGGCTAACTTATCGCCTGCTTGTATCCATGCTGCTTGGTATAATGTCTTACAAAGGAACATTCCACACAAGCAATGACATCTCCAAGGAGACAATTAAGCGCTGCCAACCATAAAGCTACACCATGTGCTTGTTAGTAGAGTTGGGTATCAATCAGAAGTTGCTGATACGATACATATCTCGATACGTAGGCCACGATACGATACATAGGCCATGATACGATACATATCTCGATACGTAGGCCACAATACGATACATACCTCGATACATAGGCCACGATACGATACATATCTCGATACGTAGGCCACGATACGATACATACCTCGATACATAGGCCACACGATATACGATACACGATCGATACATACATAAGGCCACGATACGATACATACCTCGATACATAAGCCACATAACGATACATATCTTAATACATAGGCCACGATATGATAAATATGTTGATACGTAGGCTGCGCTACGATATACCTCGATACCTAGGCTACGATACACTACATACCTTGATACATAGGCCACGTTATGCTACATTTAAGCGCTTTGTGTTGCATTTTTGTATGAAAAGCGCTCTATAAATAAAGTTTGATTTGATTTGATTTTTGATATCTCGATACATAGGCCACAATACAATACATATCTTGATACGTAGGCCACGATGTCATACACAGTGAGCTTACAATTCAATACTAATCAATATGATATATATCAATTTCATTTGTGATACTAAAAGACACTTCTTGTGCAAAGTTTATATGAAGCACGAACGTTTTAATCATCAAAACAATGAAATGTCAAAATGTGTCGCATAAATGATTTTCTTTTCTCTAAACAAACAAAACTGTAGCACTGTAACAAAATAATTTAGTAAAACATACCAAAAGAATATACTCTTGGTGATATATCGGTATAGTAGGCCATGATAGCAATACCGAATCATCACATTAAACGATACGATATAAAGATATTTCAATATTTTTGCACAGCCCTACTAGTTAGCTTCTTTAGCTCGCTCCCTTTAGCTCGTGCCTGGTCCCACAGCCCCACAGATGCTGTCGATTTACACCCAGGTCACGACACTTCCATCGGGCACAGCAGATCAATAGCCCCCTGCTCTTTGATAGCAGCACGGCGCTAGCATGCTAATGACAAATGTTTAGCACTGGAATTAATCGCCGCTACACAGTCCTGCAGTCCCACTTCAAATCTACAAATAAGATTATAAATAGCCACTGTATCGACTAAACGCGACCCTTTAACGATAATATTTGATTAACGAGCGCGTCCCACTTTTGGCGGGTAGAAATTTATGAACTTAATAAAACTTAAATCGGGCGTAGTCAGCAGGTTATGCACCATTTGAGCCCGGCAATCCCATTTACGCAATAGCACAGAGGGACCAGCCGCTACAAGCTCATTAAAAAGTGCGGAATAGAGGCAACGGATGTTATACTTTTCAGCAAATAAGTCTAAAGTGGACGGAGAGCTGACGCGTTTGATAACTTGGCGAGACTGTAAGTGGTCTTGTTTGGTGAGATTGCGCAGCCGTTCACCGAGGAGTAAAAAACAGAACGAAGCTACACGGTGTAATGCCGCTGTGAATTTATGGACGACTAAAAAGCAATACCAAGGCTGAATCTAACCACATAACTTCAGAAAATAACTGTACGGCAAAATAGTCTCACAGCAGTCGAGGGATAAATATGTCCTCGCTTTGTTTGGGGTTTTCACTTCAGCTGTGTATTATCTGAAGTTAAACTGGCAGATATCATTTTGCATATGTGAAGTCAGAAAAAGTGGTTGTATTTCTGTTAGAGTTTGTATCAGTATTAGTATTTTGTTAGTTTTAATTTATATTTTGTCTCTTATATATACAGTAACTCGCAAGTGAAATTGGAAATGCAAACTTGCTGTTCATACACTGCTTTTCTTTCTTGGAATTCTGTCATTGTTTTACAGGGTTAGGCATTCGAAGTAGTTTTTTATTGATTTTTTTCAGCAACAGAAGGGAATTTTAATTAAACCTTTTGGGAAATTATATATATTTATTCATGTTTTTAGGCATACATATAATTTTATTATATATATATATATATATATATATATATATATATGTTTATTTATACTAATTTAGGATACAAATTATTCTTCAAGGAACTAAAATAAATCCCAGAACCTGCAGCCAACTTTTGTGCAAATGTAAACATCACTAACAAAAAATAATAGATAAATACAATTGGAAATGTATTGACACCAGTATTGATATAAATCTACATCAATCTCAGTTTTTCTGTGTTTTTTGTATGTGGTTTGGTCAAAAAAATAAGTATTTTTACTACAACTTAAACCCTTTTGGTCATGATTCATGGGGTTGTAGTGTATGTTTTGTTTTGTAGTGCTGCAAAATGACCGAATAAACTACTACTAGATGCCCTCCCCTTTATAAACATCTACATCAACCCAGGCTTGTAAGACTAGAAAAAATGAAAATGTTATTCTTTGCATGGAATGTTCCACTATAGGGCATTAACCTTATCTGCCTTATGTATTCAATTAGAGTGTTTTATAGCTCAAAAATACCTTGAAAAACATGAATTCTTACTATGTGCAGGCTCGCTTCTCCATAGTTTTGACCGGTAACTTGTCTCCACTGAGGTAACTAAGTTTATTTCCATGTAACATTCAAGGCAAAGCAGTTGCCATGCCGAAGTTACGCAGTGTACCTTTACGTGCTATACTTTAAACATTGATTAACCAATTATACTTTACCAATCATACGTCAAAATAAGCAATACAAATGCCTTATACTTGTACTCAGCCCAACTAACCAGCACTATGAATGTAACTTTTGGTATGTCTTGCCTATGGACACAACAACAGGACTTGGTCCAAGTGGGAATCGATTAGGGCTGGGTATCATTCAGAAGTAGCCGATATGATACATACCTCGATACATAGGCCATGATACGATACATATCTCGATACGATACATATCTCCATATAGAGAGCTTTCGATTTGATATTCAAATTCAATACGATATATTTCAAATCGATTTGATATGGTTCAATAAAAAATAAAGGCTAAATCATGGCTGTGATACTAAAACGCCCATTTTAATCATCAAAATGTCAAATGTGTCGCATAAACAAGTTTCCTTCCTCTGAACAAGCAACAAAACTGTAGCGTTGTAACAAAATAATTCAGTAAAATATACAAAAAAAATGCTCCTGGTGATATATAACGATACAGCAGCTCACGATATGGATACTGTATCATAACATTACACAATACGATATATCGATATTTTGATATTTTTGCACACCCCTAGAATCGATGATGGACGACAGTTATAGTTACTGACCTACTGTTGTCGTATAATAAGAATTTTTTTTTTCTCAATCACTATTATTATGATATTTTAAATTCAGAAACACATTTTTGATAGAAAATCTCACCTTTTTTTCAATTATCCTTTGTGAACAGTCTTCAGGTTCGATGCTGTGGTCCTCTCCATGTTTCTACTGCATTCTATCCACAAAAATACATCCACAATATTCCTTCATTGTTGCCCCCATAGGTCCACCTGTACCGGGCTCTGAGTCCTGTTCACGGGGCAAAAGAAGCTTACGGATCCGAAAAATTAACACGGTTTAGGAGATAATTTTGTTGGGAAGACATGGGGCATTTTCTGGAAGATCAAAAACATTCTTTGCCACATCCTGAGGGCAAAACAAGCAAAAAACATATCCTGGAAAAGTTCTTCAAAACACAAGCTCTCCAAGTTTTCCAAGCTGCTGTGTCCGTCGGGAATTGCACCGTCAACCTGCTCGCTGTTGTTAATCCTCCGTTTAAATCCAAACAGATCCAGCTGATTGAAAACCATGGCGTCTGGGTCTGAGAAGCCACGTATCAAGGTTCATGTACAATTATGACTACAGTTGAAATGAAAACAAAACTGATGGAAAAATGACTCTCAATATTCCAGAAACAACAGTTCTTCGCTCCAAAACGTGGAAGAATCGATCCCAGTTCTCCGGTTTTCCTAAAGGCACTCCAAATTATCCTTGGAAGCACATCTCTTTCCTTCCGTTCGTTCGTCTATCTATCCATAAATGTTGCCGAAAAAGAGTCAAATTCTCTAAAACAACAAAAAAGTTTCAGATTTGTCCCAAAAAGTGCCATTTCCTCCACTTTTTTCTTCATCGTCGACATCTCTTCTTTAAAAATCCAATTTAAAGTGCATGGGTGAGGTAAACTATAACATCATAGCTTTGTGTCTCTTTTTATACTTAATCTTTTTTGTTTTTTGTTAATTTTTTTTTATAAGAAAAGAAGTCGGTTTTGCCAAGTTCCTCCAGCTTTTTCCTGTCTCAAACGGGAACCATTCTTCCTTGCATTTGTTGCATTTGGGACAGCATTCCCTGGACGCTGGTCAGGATCTTGTTCTGGTGCGGCGCGGAGGAGATGCCGATTCGAGCCATGTCCCTGAAAAAACACGAGGAAAAGCAGACATAGTTGAGGAGCTTAGGAGTTTAGGACGGAGGACAATGAAAACAAAGAGAAGTATGATGTGTTTTACAGACTTTACACAGAACAGAACTGACAAAATCAAACTTAATCCTGGGATCTTTTTGGAGCAAAGTCAAACACAGTAACACAGTAACATAACAAATCTTAGAATTTCCCTTCATAGTTGACTCTGACATCTAGATTACACTGACAATACACAGAATAGACTAACAACAAGTAGGAATGCACTGATACAATAATGTTAACGGATACTGGCACCGATATTTTGAAGGGTCAGATATCGTTCCAAGGTATCGGTTCAGCTGATTTTGGTGGGAATAGTGTTGAAATTAGAGTAATAAGATTTACTGGCCCAAAATGCCTCATGCTATTAAATGCTATTACACTTGTATTTTATTTCTAGAAGCTATTTGTGTTTCTGGCAAATAAATGCTATTTTCAGTCTCTATTGTGGTATGGATTGATATGTGAGGCAGATATTTAGAGCCAAAGTATCAGTATTGGAACAGAGAAACTGGACTGGTGCATAACAATAAGTCCAAAATTGCAGCTGTAACATCACTGTCTCTTGTCCCCATGTGAGCGAATGACATTGTCACATTGTAGGATTTGAAAAGCACCAATATCATGAGTTCTACTCACTCCTGTGTCATGTGCACCACGGCCTCTGGGCTGGTGTATCCCGCTGCAGTGAAGTTGTCGCTGTATCTCTCCATCCCGATGGCCCTGAGCCAGTCCTCCACTGTCCCAGAGGAGGGAGGGGGCTCTGGGCTGGCCGGCTCCAGCAGAGAGGGGGTGGATCGGCTGAGGGACACAAGGGGACAGGGGGTTACAGTTAGAAGCACTACATCTCCAATTCATCCATTGTCCTAATGACAATGTTAAACACATGGTCTGACAAAACTTTAAACATGGCAGTAGCAGCAGCAGCAGCAGCAGTAGAAGTAGTGACTGAGATAAAAAAGAATAACAGTAGTTTATGTGTGTGTGCATGTGTGTGTTTGCATGTGTGTGGTAGTAATGTTAACAGTAGCAAATATAGTAGTATTATTAGTTAGCAGAAGTAGTAATAGCCAAGCACACAGTCATGGAAATCCTGGAAAAGTCATGGAAATTGAAAATGTAATTTTCCAGGCCTAGAAAAATCATGGAATTGTGTAAATTCAATGTAAGTTTCGGAAAAGTCATGGGATTTTAGTATCTCTTCCACGCAACTACAGCGTTCTGTTAAGTTTTCATGAGGCCATTATGATGTATGTGCCTTTTGTTTAAAAGAGACGACAATAAATGCACAGACAGTATTTTGAATGTTAAAAACACTACTATAAGTGGAAAGAGTGGAAAGGGTTAACATTTCATATATAGCCCTAAAAGTATACTCAATTCTACACATGTAGGTGTTCCATAAAGTCATGGAAAATTCACTTTAGGTCATGAAAAAGTCATGGAAAAGTTTTGAAATGTTGTCAGTGAAAAAGACTGAAAACCCTGCCTCTACTAATGCTAGTACTACTAATATGACTAGAATAACTATTTTGTTGACTTTACAAAATATATACCTGAGTAAAGTTGTTTTGTACTAAAAGTTTTCCAGGGCTTTTTCATATATCGCCACAGTTAGATGCCTATCTGGTCTGTTTCTTTTCGCCTCGCTGTAAAATGATTTAGGGAGTTGTTATTTCCTCTCACGAAACATTTCATTTCAGTGCCACGGCCTGAGCTCACGTAGTAAAAGTCACAATCCGTGTCATAGAGCAGCAATGATCCGATTTCTTACACATCTCCTCTGCAGAAATGATGTCCACACGGATACACACCAGCCATGACAACACCAGAGGCAATTGCATTTTATTATTATTTTTATCAGATGTTTTATTAAAGACATTTAATACTGACATGGAGGTACATGACATAATGCAACCTTGATTTTTAACCAAATGAATACATTAAAGGTGCACCATGTAACTTTTCTGGTGCTTGTGTTCACGGAAGTACTAAATAAAATGCTTAATAAACTTGTCTATCTCCATGTAAACAGGCCAAGACCAAGTTGGTTACAGTAAGAAAGTATTTTACCTGTGATTTAATAAATGCAAGATAGGTAGGTTTAATGCCAAACTGTGGAACATTTCAGACAAAGTGAAGTATGCATGGAGACAAGTAGATGACAGACCTCCACTCCCAAAAAGATACCTTTAAACTAGCAACTTTAGCATTAAACAGGTGAAATAATTGTAACAAACAGGACTAAACCTTGCCTGATTAATCAGACGGTTTCACTTCATAGAAATCGTCTGATCTCGCGGCATTAGGATTCGTTCGCTCGACTGTAAGCGGGTACTTTTTTATTTAACCAACTACATTTGCATTTATTCAACTACAGATTGCTCAAAAATATCTTAAAAAACATATATTCTTACTGTGAATGAGGTCGCCTCTCCACAAATCTAACCTGTAATTTGGCTCCATGGAGATTCTTAAACTTATGGCTATACTGTGGAACATTCTTGCCACATTTCCATGGCGACAAGCAGATGACAGACTCTCTACAAGACAAGTTACACAATGCACCTTTAATCATGATCATAATCTAAGCAAAATGGCAATCTGAATTAACGCGATTCAGTTTTTTCAAGTACAGGTGCTATCATTTCCTAGCCCGATTCGTCAGTCGATTTCACTTCGTAGAAACTGTCTGACCTTGCAGCATTAGGATTCATTCACTTGATGGTAGGTACTTTTTTAATTTAACCAATCTCTGCTATTTGGTTGTGATGTATGTAATGCATCAAATCCTGTAGGAAGAAGGGCAATAACGTCTTTCCCCTTGATAAAATTCACCAAACATTCTCTTTGTTCCGGCTTTAAATCTTTGATCTCGGGAATTGTTGGCAACACTGAATGTTTGGCTTCGTCTACATCCATCTCGACTGCTTTGTTTATTGTTGTACTGTACCACAAAAGGGACCCAGTCATGGCTTCACAGCTCTTCGCTGATTGGCCAGTGAGCAGTCTACAACTTCCAGGATTCTTGCAAACTACGTCATGGGGTCCATATGCGACCCTTTAATATTTAATCTTAATCTTAACCTTTAATCTTTAACCTTTAATCCGGCCCACCTACCTTGAATAATAATAATAATATTAATAATAATGATAATAATAATAATTTTCAGTGTTTTAAAAGTTATTTCAATGAATAGTAAATATCGTGGGACTTAATTTGTTGTAATGATTTGTAATGATTTTCAATTATGGGATATTTCGATTTTTATTTTATTTTTTTTCCCTATGAGATAGATTACCAAAACATGCATCTGCTCCTGGTCCGGCCCTTCCGTCAAATTTTAGAACCCTTTGTGGTCCACAAGTCAAAAAGTTTGCCCACCCCGAGTCTAGTGTATTCTGATTCCTGATCTAGTCGCTGGAGAGAAATGAAATTGAGCCTGGCTAGACTAAACCAGGATTAAACCAAAATTAAACAAGGACTAAACCAGAACTAAACCAGGACTAAACCACTGAATTCCAAAACCTATGCAAAAACCTTTTCTGTGTTATCCCACCGGGAACTCAAAAAACCTAACATAAAGTTCCCCTTGGGTGACACACTTGTTTAATCCTTATTTCACAGACAACATTAACCTCCACACAGTCGGTTGGTCTTTACAGCGCTGTCGAGTCCTTTTTTATATTGTAATATGGCTCTGTAGTTTGGCCTTGGCGCTGACAGAATTACATATTACATATTCTTCTCACCTCTTATTTTCCATACACACACACACACACACACAGAGCAGCCGTCCATGAAACATTAAAGCGGACGTGTGGGCCAGGTTGTGTCTCGCCGTGCTCTGCTGACTCTCTCACTTCAGCACATCTTAAAGTTTAGTTTGTGAGGTCAGTTTAGGTTTGTCACTTTAAAATAAAAACTGAAGCTGCTTGTTTCTATGGAGATGTCATTCCTCTGCTTTGAATGTTCCACAGTAAGACATTAAACAGCTCTACCTTACATTTACTAAATTACTAAATTACGCCTGTTTCTCAAAATACCTAGAAAAACAGGCGTTCTGACTGCCTCTCCACAGATCTGACCTGTAACTTGGTCTGGTTTGGTCTCTACCATACTGTGAAATATTCCAGACACCAGAAAAGTTACACAATGCACCTTTAATGGGCAATATTTTTTAATCCATTTTTTAAATATCCGGACATCAAATGATTTTTGTTTTCATTTGGCAACAATTGTATGTCAAATGCTTCTATGTTTTTGTATAGTAATTCACTGTAGATTTTTTCTTGATTTTTTTTTTTTTACTACTTATTATCCAGGTATGGGGCTGACCAAAAGAGTTCATTGATTTTGTGGCTGAATTACCATAATTTCCGGACTAAAAGCTGCTACTTTTTTCTCACACTTTGAACCCTGCTTCTAATAAAGTGATGCAGCGATAAAAGCAGACGGCCCGAACTTGAAAACGTTCTGGAAGACGTGGACACCTGCGACTTATATTCAGCTGTGGCCTATAAATGTACAATTTTTAAATTTTGTTAAAATTTTGTTGATGTGGCTCATTAGTGAACTCCTTAGTCTGGAAATTACAGTAGTTGCTCTGTTGCTGCAAATTTCACATCAGCCACCATCTTAAAATGTGTCTGTTTATCTAAAAACTACCTACTAGTATAGCTGGACTACACTGGACTTGAACCAAAAACTAGGTCTAAACCAGAACTGGTTCTTAAATCAAAATTATGACCAAAGCCACGACTAAGCCTAAACCAGATTTCAAATTTTTATTTATTTTTTTTTTTTCTTCCTGTCTATCTAAACCACGATTGTACCAGGTTTAAAACTGGGTCAGCCAAGTCATGACAAATCTATAATACAAAGACTAAACCAGATTTTATTTGGTCTGAACTCTTCAACATAACTTCAGATCTACTTAAGTTAGCGCACCACCAATCTTGTGCTTTTTAAACCACTGGAAACACCATAAAACTTTCTTTCCTTCAAAAAAAAAAAAAATCTAATTTCCTACGCTTGTAAATGCACCGCTCCTGCTAATTACCTCTGGTCTCTAGCATTGGGTCCTTGTGCACACACACTTGTTAAAATCAAACAGGCCGTCTACAGCTCCTGTCCACTCTGTAAACACCGAGCGCGGCCTTTCATTCACACTAATGGTATCCAAGCGCGGGGTATGTTTGGTTTTAACGCGGCGTCAGCTCGTAATTCTCCTGTCCCCCGTTTCGCCGTCGAGATGGGACGCCACGCAAGCTTTAGTGCGATTCATTACGGGGTCTATTTGTGATGGTTACGGTGTTTAATAGTGGTTGTAAATACTGGGCTGTTCAAGGTAAGTTAAAGCGCTAACAGACTAGACTGGAAGAAGTACTGAAGTCCAAATTACTCCAGAAATGATGTGACTTAAGGAGGTAGTGGAAAAAAAAAAGTTCTAATCCACCAAATGGGCATAAACATGGTTTCTTTTATTACTAACTTAAAGGTGCACTGTGTAGCTTTTCTAGTGTGGAGACCATCACCTTGTCTCCATGGAGATGTGACTGCATTGCCTGGAATGTTCCACAGTATGACATTTAACTTCTATCTTACATTTATTCAGTTGCAAGTAATTTCATTGCTACCTTAGTCTACCTTAAAAAAACAAAACAAAAAACAAAACTATGAGCAGTGACTAAGGCTACGTTCAGACTGCAGGGCTTAACGCTAAATTCCAATTTTTTTGTGAAATCCGATGTTTTTGCGAGGTCGTTCACATTTCCAATTTAATGCGACTTGTATGTGATCCCAGTGTGAACGTTAAACAGCCCGAAAGTGTCCCGCATGTGCACTGGAGACACGATGACGTCAACCGCAGCGAGCGTGCTCTGTGTTTACGGAAGTTGTCCAAACATGGACGCGAGCATTGATCACCTGGAGATTTTAAAGTTCCTCTCGTACCAGAGCCAGAACATTAACAACTTACTTGTTTTATAGAGGAGATTGAGAAGGAGAAGGACGTGGCATTTTGTGGGGCAGCGGCAGCAACGTCCATTGAAAGGAACGTGTGGATGCAGAGACGTAGCCAAGAGTGGTGAGTGGTGATGTGCTTCGCTTCAGTGACACGGAGTTCATTAACAATTTTCGTCTACTTCAGCGCAGAATAGTGACGTTTGTGGCTTGTTGATAACGTGTAGGTCGAATGAATGCACTTTGGCCGTTCACACTGAAGTCACATGTCAAAAGATCAGATATGTATCGTTTCAGGAGCACATATCCAAGTGGTCCTGGGTCACATTTGAAAAAATCGGATCTGTGTCGTTCAGACTGTCATTAAAAGATCAGATACAGGAGCATAGAGGCCAAAAAATCAGATTTGGGTCACTTCAGGCTGCAGTCTGAACGCAGCCATAGTGGTAGTCATCTTATTGTCTCCATAGAGATGTTTGTAGAAGTTTAATGCTATACCATGGAACATTACAGGCCAAGCAATAACATGTCCATAGAGACAAGTGGCAGACCCTTAGGGATGCAACAATATGGTTTTCCCACAATTCGATTTGTATCTCAGTGCACGGGTCACGATATTGATTTGATTTCGATACGTTTTAAGATGCAAAAAAATAAAAAATCTCATATAATTTTTTTCTCAGCATTTTTATTCAGTGTGAAAATAAGAACAGTGCTTTCTCAGGCTGTTTTACCTTTTTTATTATCAGAGTGTCTCCTGGTTTGACTACCCCAAATTTAAGACTTTTTTAAAGACCTTTTTAAGACCACTTAAATGAAAATTAAGACCAACATCACACCCATTATGTAAGCGTAAAACACCAGATCCAATTCTATAATAACCTAACAACTACTATATCTAGAACAAGGGTGCTCACACTTTTTCAGCATTTGAACTACTTATAAAATAACAAAGTCAAAATTGATCTACCTGATACAAAGCCAAGTGAATGGTACTGCACTTAAACACTCTGCACCTCTTTTTTGCCAATCTACTAATAGTATCGAGTGGTAGGGGAGTTACATTATCAGACTTTTCCTCCTTTGATGATGATTTGATTAATTTTTTTCCCCCTTCTCACTGCGCACCTGTGTCCGCGACGCTCTGCTGCCTCGAACAGAGACGGTACGTAGCTCCTCCCACACTGGCCTGCTACACTCTGTGACACTTTGCGCTTTCCCATCCTGTCTCTGGACACTAAAACTATGTTATATTACACAGAAATGTCTCAACAGATGTTTTCTGAGTAAAACTTAGTAGAGGTAGAGACTAAGAAAAAGATTGCGTACATCACGAGTCGCGTCACGGAGGCGTTTATGAGCGTATTTGATTATCTTTGTCATTCCTGAGTCTATCAATGTCAAATAAAAAGTGACTGAAAGATAAAACCCACATCTGTTAGAATATTTCAGCTTTAAGTCCATATGGGGCTGTTTTCTCGTTGAATATGAGGACGCTGCGACAACAGTTTTCCTTTCGGCCCAAAATAAATTACAACACAAAGCACATGGAGGGACACGTGCATATTGAACTAACACTTGTATTGAATCATGAGATCTACAATGAACAATTCGATATTATATTGAATATTGTTGCATCCCTAATTTTAAGTACTAAAAAGTTTAAAAACACAGTGTACCCTTTCCTGTATTATCACATAAGATGGAACAGAGTGTTTCTTTGGGGGGGAGAAGCCTAAATATGCAGGATTTATCTGTTGAACATGCGTGAATGAAACAAAACAAAACTCCAGATATGTTTGTGATGACGAAACAACATTATAAAAGATCAGAAAACAATGTAATATAGACCCTTTAAGAGCTGGCTATGTAGTTTTACACGTATAAGCAAATAATAAAATAATAAAACCACTCCTTTGTTCAATCCTTGTTCATATTTACCGTATGGTGGAGTCCGTGCCCCCGGTCCTCTTCAGGGTGCTGGGGTTCCGGATCAGTTTGTCCAGCATGTTCACAATCTGTCCGAACTTTGGCCGGTCAGCTCTCTCCCTCTGCCAGCAGTCCAACATGAGCTGGTGCAGGGCCACGGGGCAGTCCATGGGAGGGGGCAACCTGTAGCCTTCATCTATGGCCTTTATCACCTGCAAAAAATATATACGGCACCGGTCACATTTCAGAACATGTTTGTAAAGGTGCGTTATGTTATGTCACTTTTCTGGTTGAGGGTCCGTCAAATGTTTTTCTAGGTATTTTTGAGCTATAAAACCGCCTCCAATTGAGTAAATGTAAAGCTGTTTAATGTCATACTGTGGAACATTCGAGGCAAAGCAATGACATCTCCATAGAAACAAGCATGTGACTAACCCAAAACCCAAAAGTTAAACCTTTTAAATTACGGGGTTAACAGTTTTTTAAGCAGAATAAGGCACGATATTTTGCTGTTCGTGGAGGAATTGATTTGAAAAATTGTGAATTATGTTCATTCAAATTGTGATTTCATTTAGATTATGATTAAACGAAATAGTAACTTATATTGTGGAGGGTCTGTCATCTGCTTGTCTCCATAAAGATGTGTCTAGAATGTTCCACAGTATGGCCATAAGCTTAAGAATCTCCATGGAGACTTGCAAGCCAAATTACAGGTTAGATTTGTGGAAAGGCAACCCCACTCACAGTAAGAATTTGTGTTTTGCGCAATAAATTACTAACAAAACTGGCGCCACCTAGTGCCTCCACTCAATTTCATTTCTCTCCAGCGACTAGGTCAGGAATCAGAATACACTGGACGGTTTGCAAGAACCCTGGAAGTGCGAGTTCGGGCACCAGCCAATCGGCGAAGAGCCATACATTCTGTGTTGGCAACGATTCTTGAGATCGAGGATTTAAAGTTGTAAAAAAGGGAATGTTTGGTTAATTTCATCAAGGGGAAAGACGTTATTGTCCTTCTTCCTACGCAATTTGTGAAAAGCTTAATATACCAGTTAGCCCTGTTAGTGATGCATTACATATGTCACGACCAAATAGCAACGATTGGTTAAATAAAAAAAGTTCCCGCCTACCGAATGAATTCTAATGCTGCGAGGTCAGACGGTTTCTACAAAGTGAAACCGGCTGATGAATCAGACTACGAAATAATAGTACTGGTACTTGAAAAAATTGTGAATTGCATTCATTCAAATCGCGATTTCGGTTAGATTGGGATTGTGATTAAAGGTGCACTGTGTAACTTGTGTTGTGGAGGGTCTGTCATCTTGTTTCCATGTTTTCCTTGTGTCTAGAATGTTCCACAGTATGGCCATAAACTTATGAACCTGGAGACTTGCAAGCCAAATTACAGGTTAGATTTATGGAAAGGTGACCTCATTCACAGTAAGAGTGTATGTTTTTAAGATATTTTTGAGCAATCTGTAGTTGAATAAATCCAAGACAGCTTAGTTTAATGCCATAACGTGGACAATTTAAACCCAAGTACTAACATCTCCATAGCAACAAACACTCTCCAGAAACAGTGCACCTTTAAAAACATTTTGAGTGTCCAAAAAAAGCAATATATACAGTAAATCTGATCCACTATTGTTATTTTATTAATTTTGCGGCCTTAATGAATATCAAATAACAATATAAAATCCATCTTACATCTTGGTTGCTCATGTCCCAGTACGGCCGCTCTCCGTACGACATCACCTCCCACATGACGATGCCGTAGCTCCACACGTCGCTCGCGGAGGTGAACTTCCGGTACGCGATGGCCTCCGGAGCGGTCCAGCGGATCGGGATCTTTCCTCCCTGGAACACGAGAGAAGAAAGTGTGAATGAAAGCAGAGAGGTGAGAGGACGCGACCAAAGACGAACCCAGGGAGGGATTTTCAGATTCTGGACTGTGATGACGTCATGCTCGCAGATGACGGGGAAGAGATAGTTTCCCTACATTGTACTTTTGAAACTAGACCCAAGAACACACTGTACTACAAGAAAAATCTGCATTCCGACTCCCATCTGTATTAAATAATATAGGTCTAGAGAATGTTATGATGGCAAATTATTCATTCCTGATTTCGTGGAGGTCCTGTTCGCGTGCAAAAGATTTAAATTGTGTTATTGCCATGACAACGGAGGACTGTTGCCAGGCCAAATCCTGCAAATCAGGAAGGAACCTTTATGCCTGAAGTCCATGAATGTGAGAAGAGTACTGGGAGTCTGTATTTGAGTTCAATATTTTACAGATACTTCAAGTTTCACAGTACGACATTAAAGTGGTCTATCTTTTAGTTATTCCGTTTTTGTTTTGTGTTGACTTGAAAAACACCAATTCAGTTAGGACTTTGAACCGGCAACAGTCTCATTCGTGTGTTACACTTAACACGCCGCACCACAGCCTCTCCAAACCGATGGCTGTGATATTGAAGGTCCTAAAATTTTTCTGAAACACCATATTTTTAAAAAAACATCTGAATAACCGTGACACTTTAATCTCAGTTACAGACATGAGAATACAACTAGCACCTTTTACTTTCTACTTCTCGAATTTCCCTTGGGATCAATAAAGTAGCTCTCTTTCTCCATCTCTCTCCCTCCCTCATTCTCTCTTCCTCCCCCTCTCTCTCTCTCCATCTCTGTTCCTCTTTTCTTTCTCTCTCTCTCGCTCCCTCTCTGTCTCCCCCCTCTCTCCTTCGCTGACTCCTTCTCTCTCCCCGCCTCATTCTCTCTGTCTCTCTTTCTCCCCTTTCTCTGTCTATATCTCTCTCTCTGTCCTTTTTCTCTCCTCTCTCTGTGTCCCTCTGTCTATCTCTCTCCTTCTCTGTCTCCCCCTTCACTCTCTCTCTCTCTCTCTCTGTCCTTCTTTCTCCCCCCTCTCTTTCTCTCTCACACTCTCTCTCCTTCTGTCTTTCCCGTCATTCTCCCTCCTCTTTCCTTCTCTCTCTCCCTCCCTCATTCTCTCTTCTCCCCCCTCTCTCTTCGCTTCACTCTCTCCTCTCCTCATTCTCTCTGTCTCTCTTTCTCCCCTCCCTCTCTCATGCTCTCTCTCCTTCTCTGTCTCCCCCTTCACTGTCTCTCTGTCCCTCTTTCTCCCCCCGTCTTTCTCTCACGCTCTCTCCTTCTCTCTCTCCTCACCTCTTTCTCTCTCTGTCCCTCTTTCTCCCATCTCTCTCTCACACTCTTTGCTCTTCTCTGTCTCCCCTGTCATTGTCTCTCTGTCTCTCTCTTTCTCCCCTTTCTCTGTCTCTCTGTCCCTCTCTCTCTCTGGTCCTTTTTCTCTCCTCTCTCTTGTCTCTCTTTCTCCCTCTCTTTGTCTCTGTCTATATCTCTCTATCTGTCCCTCTCTCTGTCTCTCTCTCTCTCCCCTCTCTCTGTTTCTTTCTCTCCCTCTTCCCCCTCTCCGTCTCTCACCCGTGTTGTGTAGGCCGCCTCCGGGTCGTCCTCCAGCACTCGGGACATTCCGAAGTCGGACACTTTGCACACCAGGTTGCTGTTCACCAGGATGTTCCGGGCGGCGACGTCCCGGTGCACGTAGCTCATGTCCGACAGATACTTCATCCCGGAGGCGATCCCGCGCAGAATCCCAACCAGCTGGATCACCGTGAAGCGCCCGTCGTTTTTCTACAACACACAAAAGAAAAAATATATTCAAATGTCTCGAAAAGTTATCTGAAAGGTTATAGGATCTGCCAGTTTTGTTTGTTTTGCTTGGAATGGAATGAATCTGTGTATCATTCGTTCATTCATTTTTCAATATAAAACCAAAAATAAGAAAACTAAAAAACAACAGTTTTCTTCATTATTTGTCTCCAAAACCAAAATGAAAAAACAGATAACGATTCATTTTTTCAGTTTTCGATTTTGTGTTTAAATGAAGAATGGAAAAAATGCATAACGGCCGTTTCCAGTTTACGTGACTTCAGTGACTGCGATGCCGGACTTTTGCACCACGTACGGACTGAACCAGGACTGATCCAGGTCCGGGACCAGAGCGGGACCAGAGCGGGACTGAGCCCGGGACAGACCGGGACCAGAGCGGGACCAGGACAGACTCTGAGCTTTGACTCTGAGCCTCTGCGGGGTCCGAGCTTCAGCTTCGAGCTCCAGCACTGCCATGGGCTCTGAGCCTCCGGTCCTGTCTCGGACTTGTCTCGGTCTCGGTCCCGCTCTGGTCCCGCTCTGGTCCCGCTCTGGTCCCGGTCTGGTCCCAGTCTCAGTAGCGCTCTGGTCCCGGTCTGGTCCTGGACCTGGTCCATTTGAGCCAAAAGCTCTTAGTTCGGTTCGTTTTCGTTGGTGTGAAGCGTCAGTTGGATGCTTTGCACCACCTCGGAACCAGCCGCGGTTCTTGAGCGCGGAGGACTGGAGCAGCCCGTCTGGACCTGTAGTCTACAGCGCATTCTCGCATTCCCCGCACGGAACCAGGCGCACAGACAATGACACGGAACCGCTCGGACCGCTGGTCTCGGTCTCAGTCCCGCTCTGGTCCCGGTCTGATCCTGGTCTGGTCCCAGTCTCAGTCTGGTCCCAGTCTCAGTCCCGCTCTGGTCCCGGTCTGGTTTCGGACCTGGATCAGTCCTGGTTCAGTTTGTACAAGGTGCAAAAATCCGGCATCGCAGTCACAGAAGTCACATAAACGGGGTCGTTATCAGTTTTTTCCATTTTTAATTTAAACACAAATTCGAAAACTGAAAAAATGAATCGTTATCCATTTTTTCATTTTCGGTTTTTGAAACTGTTGTTTTTTTGTTTTCTTATTTTTGGTTTTATATTGAAAAACGAATGAACGATTGATACACGGATTGGAATGTTACACTGTGTGGCATTCAAATCTTGCATTTTTTATTAGTACTTTTTAATACACTAAACTTTTCATCATGCAAAAATGTAAACAGTTTTCTAAGCCTGTATAGATTGTTGTTATAAATAAATAAATGCAAATGCAATTTTAACGCCATAAATTCCAGGTAAAGCGATCACGTCTCCATGGAAACAGCAGGTCCATCAGAAAAGTTATGCAGTATATTTTAAATTCAGATTGTCTCAACATAATTTGACCTGATTAATCCTGATTTATATAACATTTTTATTTTAGTACAGACGAGAAAAATAGAGCAAAACTCAAGACAAAATGTACTCGTCTTTACTTAACAGATGAAGTCAAGTAGGTGCACCAAAGTTTTTTTTTTCTTCCCCACAAATCTACTTAAATTTCCCTTGAGATCAATACAGTATATCTCTCTCTCCTGCTTTCTCTCTTTCCCCTCACTCTCTCTCCCTGCCTTATTCTCTCTCTGTCCCTCTTTCTCCCCCCCTCTCTCTCTTCCTCTCTTTCTTTCTCTCTGTTCCTCTCTTTTCTCTCCTTCACTCTCCCCTTCTCTCTCTCCCACCTCATTCTCTCTCTCTCCCTCTTTCTCCCCCTCTGTCTCTCTTCCTCTCTTTCTTTCTCTGTCTCTCTCTCTGCCCCCTCTCCTTCCCTCTCTACCTCCTTCATTCTTTCTTTACTCCCCCTCTTTCTTTCACTCTCTCCCTCTCTGCCCCCCATTTTCTCTCCTCTCTCTCACACACTCTCCTTCTCTCTCCTCTCCTCTTTTTCTTTCTTTACCCCGCTCTCACTCTCTTTCTCTCTGTCCCCCTCTCTCTCTCCCCACCTCATTCTCTCTCTGTCCCTCTTTCTCCCTCTCTCTGTGTCTCTTCCTCTTTCTTTCTCTGTCTCCCTCTCTGTCTCTGTCCTTCGCTCTCTCCCTCCCTTATTCTCTCTTTACCTCCCCTCTCTCTCTCTCTCTCTCTCTCCTTCTCTCTCTCCTTGTCTCATTCTCTCTCTGTCCCTCTTTCTCCCTCTCTCTTTGTCTCTCTTCATTCCTTTCTTTCTTTCTCTGTCTCCCTCTCTGCCCCCCCCTCCTTCGCTCTCTCCCTCCCTCATTCTCTTTACCCCCTCTCCCTCTCTGTATTTCTCTCTCTCCCTCTCTGTCCCCCTCACTCTCTCCTTCCCTCCCTCATTCTTTCTTTACACCTGTCTCTCTCTCTGTCTCATTCTCTCTCTACCCTTCTTTCTCCCCTGTCTCTCTCTCTCTCCTTCTTTCTCCCCCCCCCTCTCTCTCTCTACCCTTCTTTCTCCCCTGTCTCTCTCTCTCTCCTTCTTTCTCCCCCCCCTCTCTCTCTCTCTACCCTTCTTCTCCCCTGTCTCTCTCTCTCTCCTTCTTTCTCCCCCCCTCTCTCTCTCTCTACCCTTCTTCCCCCCCCTCTCTCTGTCTCATTCTCTCGCTACCCTTCTTTCTCCCCTGTCTCTCTCTCTACCCTTCTTTCTCCCGTCTCTCTCTCTCTGTCCTTCTTTCTCCCCCCCCTCTCTCTCTCTGTCTCTCTCTCTCCTTCTCTTTCTCCACCCCTCTCTCTCTCTCTCTCTCTCTACCCTTCTTTCTCCCGTCTCTCTCTCTCTCTGCCCTTCTTTCTCCCCTGTCTCTCTCTCTCTACCCTTCTTTCTCCCCTGTCTCTCTCTCTCTTCCTTCTTTCTCCCCCCCCTCTCTCTCTCTACCCTTCTTTCTCCCCTCCCTCTCTCTCTGTCTCATTCTCTCGCTACCCTTCTTTCTCCCGTCTCTCTCTCTCTCTGTCCTTCTTTCTCCCCCCCCTCTCTCTCTCTCTGTCTCTCTCTCTCTCTCTCTCCTTCTTTCTCCACCCTCTCTCTCTCTCTCTCTCTCTCTCTGTCCTTCTTTCTCCCGTCTCTCTCTCTCTCTGTCCTTCTTTCTCCCTGTCTCTCTCTCTCTGTCCTTCTTTCTCCCGTCTCTCTCTCTCTCTCTGTCCTTCTTTCTCCCGTCTCTCTCTCTCTCTGTCCTTCTTTCTCCCCTGTCTCTCTCTCTCTGTCCTTCTTTCTCCCCCCCCCTCTCTCTCTCTCTGTCTCTCTCTCTCTCTCTCTGTCCTTCTTTCTCCCCCTCTCTCTCTCTGTCCTTCTTTCTCCCCTGTCTCTCTCTCTGTCCTTCTTTCTCCCGCCCCCCCCCCTCTCTCTCTCTCTCTGTCCTTCTTTCTCCCCTCTCTCTGTCTCTCTGTTGCTGACATGACTACGCTCTGTTGTTATGTCACTGAGCAAGACACTTCACCTACACCTCACTACAGGTCATTGCATATTTGTATAAGGTGCAATTCAACTTATTGGAAACACAATTGGACATTTTAAACCTTCGCTACAGCAGGAAAAAAAAAGCGGTGAGTGTTTTCAGAGTGATGATAAAGTGAACAGATTCCTGGTTGAAAAGTGCAGGTAGATGAAGATAGGTGCAGTGTTTTGTAAATAAAAGAGTGTAATGTGAGAGGTTTACATTATACTGAGATAAGATCAGATCTGTTCACACACACTTTATACACACACACTTTATACACACACACACACACACACGAGAGAGAGAAACATATGACTCACCCTCAGGAACGCATCCAAGGATCCATTCTCCATGTACTCTGTGATAATCATGACGGGTTTACCTACAGAGAGAAGGACAGAAGGAAGGAGAGAAGAGAGAGAGGGAGGGAAGAGGGAAAGAAAGAGAGAGCGTGTGTGAGAGAGAGAGAGAACAAAGAAAGAGAGAGAGTGGGAAGAGAGGGATTGAGGGAGAGAGAGAGAGAAAGAGAGTGTGTGTGAGAGAGGGAGGGAGAGAAGAGGGAGAGAGAAAGAAAGAGTGTGTGTGAGTGTGTGAGAGAGAAAGGGAAGAGGGAGGGAGAGAGAAAGAGAGAGTGTGTGTGTGTGTGAGAGAGACAGAGAGAAAGGGAAGAGGGAGAGAGATAGAGAGTGAGTGTATGAGAGAGAGGGAGAGAGAAGGAATGAAAGGGAAGAGGGACGGAGGGAGAAAGAGAGAGTGTGTGCGTGTGTGTGAGAGACAGAGAGAGAGAGAGAGAAAGGGAAGAGGGAGGGAGAGAGAGTGACAGAAAGAGAGAGTGAGTGAGAGGGAGAGAGAACGAGAGAGTGCGTGCGTGCGTGCGTGTGTGTGAGAGAGAGAGAAAGGGAAGAGGGAGAGAAAGAGAGTGTGTGTGTGTGTGAGAGAGAGAGAAAGAGCGGGAAGAGGGAGAGAGATAGAGAGTGAGTGTATGAGAGAGAGGGAGAGAGAAGGAGTGAAAGGGAAGAGGGAGAGAGAGAGAAAGGGAAGAGGGAGAGAGAGAGTGTGTGTGTGTGAGAGACAGACAGAGAGAGAGAGAAAGGGAAGAGGGAGAGAGAGAGTGTGTGTGTGTGTGTGTGTGTGAGAGACAGACAGAGAGAGAGAGAAAGGGAAGAGGGAGGGAGAGAGTGACAGAAAGAGAGTGAGTGTGTGTGTGTGAGAGAGAGAGAGAACAAAGAAAGAGAGAGAGTGGGAAGATGGAGTGAGAGAGGGATTGAGGGAGAGAGAGAAAGAGTGTGTGTGTGAGTATGTGAGAGAGAATGAGAGGGAGAGAGAGCGAAAGGGAAGAGGGAGGGAGAGAGAACGAGAGAGTGCGTGCGTGTGTGTGAGAGAGAGAGAGAAAGGGAAGAGGGAGAGAAAGAGAAAGAAAAGAGTGAGAGAGGAAGGTAGAGAGAGGAAAACAGTGATTAAGAGAGAGATGGAAGGAAGAGGAAGGGAGAGAGAGTGCGTGTGAAAGAGAGAAAGAGGGAAGAGAGAGAGGCAGAGAGAGTGTGTGTGAGTGAGTGCGAGAAAGAGAGAGGGACAGAGAGACGGAGGGAGAGAGAGAGAGAGAGAGAGAGGAGAGAGAGAGAGAGAGAAAAGATAGAGCAAGAGAAAAGGACAGAGCGAGAGAGACAGACAGAAAGCGAACGAGAGAGAGGGAGAGAGAACAAGGCCAGGAGAAACGGAAGGAGGGAGAGGGAGGGATGAAGAAGAGAGAAAGCGGGATAAGAGGGAAGTGAGAGGAGGAGAGGAGGTAAGAGGAAGTAAGAGGGAGAGAAAGAGAGAAACAAAGAGATTAGAGTATGAGAGAGTGAAAAGAGACAGTAGAGGTGAGAAAGAGAGAGTGGAGATTGACAGGGAGAGAGAAAAAGAGGGAGCGAGGGGACAAAAAAAAGAGGAGATGATTATTGAGGTAAATCTTGCATATCAGCTCCTGTTACAGCAGTATAGAGTTGAAGTTTTTTGTTTTTTTTCTACTTCCACAAATAAAATAAAAAGCCTTTAGATATTTATGAGATTACATTTATATAACCAACATTTGTGCTTGAAATATATATACGCTTCTTCATGGTAACCAAAATATTTTCCCAGAATCCCTCTCTCTCTCTCTTTTCATGTCACTTAGTCCTTTTGCCCTCCGTCTCCTCTGGCAGCTCTCCGTGCATCTGTCACTCCACTGCTTGTTCCTCTCCATTGCTCCCTCTCTCTCTCCCCTGACACCTATACGCTCTCTCCATCTCCCTCTCTAACCCTCTCCCTCTCTCCGTCCGTCTCTGGTGTCTTTATCGGTGCTGGGACGTGCTGCAGGTTGTGTGTGTGTGTGTGTGTGTGTGTGTGTGTGTGTGTGGGTGGACTGTTCCTGGTGGGTCCTGTCTGTCTTTGTCTCAGAGGAGAGCAAAATGTGTCGGAGGTTTTTTTTGTTCTCCCCCAAACACGAGCGAGCGCATGGTCCCGGGGCATGTCTGAGGGGACTCGGGCACAGCTGATAGTGCCCGGGCATGTCTGATGGTGCCCGGACATGGCTCAGGTTGCCCGGGCTTGTTTGAGGGGACCTGGGAATGTCTCATGGGACCCGGGCATGTCTGATGGGATTGAGTGGCAGAGCGGAGGTAAAGAACATTGAGCTCCTGGTTCTGAGTGATCTTGCATCTCGAGTAAATGAGAGGAAATAGAAAGTATCTGGAGGTGTACATCTCGTGCCCGTGCCAGGAGGCTGTCAGTCTGCCTGTGCCCGAGTGACTGGCACCAGGTTCATTCTGGGGCCCAAAAAGAGGAAGTGCCATTACATTTGGGGCCGTCTCGGTCGGCCATCTTTGTTCTCTTTGTGGAGCACCACTGCCCAGGGCGCTGTTTGATTGACAGCTCCCCAGTCCACACAGAGGAGCGTCTGACCTGCGACCCTAAACCCTCGCCTCCGCAGCCCCGCCCTCTTCCTCCCCCTCCATTTGCATGCTAATGCTATGCTAACGCCTGTTTACTGAATACAGCCGGTGCCTTTGGCAGTGAACTGCGGGCGCGGGCCCCACAGAGGGCCGATTATCAGCTGCCAACAACACGCGGGGAGGGTGCGCACCAGGGGGCAGTGTGGGGCCCTCACTTCTATAAACAAAGATCTGCTCTTTAAAAACAGATCCGTCTGAAATTAGCTAAGTTCTAGTCTTTGTAAAATGCTCCTCAACATGCTGCATTTGAGTTTTAATGAAGCCCATTTGCATTAGCACAGCTAAACCCGCACTTACACCCCACTTTAAGATGGTGGATTAGAGCCAGTCTCTGCGTGAGAGATGTCTGCACATTTATGTATTTTACTGCCTGTTTAGATTCCCTCCATAATTAATAAGGACTAATTGGCCCAGTTGGACATGCAGCAAACTGAGGCCAGATGGAGAGTTCCTTTTAACTTGATTGTAATGGACAGAGCAGAGCTGTTCAAATAATGTCTTTTTAATAGATTCCTGTGACACAGTGGAGTGTGAAGGACTCATTTACACAAACCTGTGTCAGGCTCACGTCCTCACTGAAGCTCACGTTTCATTCTACTGTTCATTTAGCACCAGGCACATTAGGCCATGGTCTCATATTAACAGACGTTCTGTTGCACAACATCTCAGTTTAGTCAAAGAGGCCATCTTCCCATTCAAACTGGAATGTAGAACGACACACAAACGACAGACAAACTGAATACTAATGTTAATTCTGCAGAAAAATGCAATATGTGTTTGTTCTATCACTCATCTCCACCAGCTTGTCCATCCGCTCTGTCTCTATTCACACCTCCTCTGCTCTGTCCCTCGTCTTCTCTCTTCCTTCTATGCTTCTGTCTGCTCCTCTCCTTTTTCCTCCTTTGCCCCTGTCTGCTCCTGTCTGCTCCTGTCTGTACGTGGTCAGAGGTCAGGCTGGAGCAGGGCTGTGAGCTCAGATAACAGTGGTATCGCCGGCCCCTTCTCCGGCTGCCCTGTGCTTCTACTGCGGCTGTACGAGGGAGACAGTGATATCTAAATTGCGAGATAGGGCCGGCCTGTTGCATCGTGACAGATTAAGACACCTCATCCATCTACAGCACTTTTACAAAGACAAGTAATCAGCAAGATACAGACGTTAACGTGTGCTAAAGAGGAGACGAAAATGGGAAAATATACAACAGAATTTAAGGCCAGAATGCCAAACTTTATATACATTGGCAGATAATTATTTGGTATCATTTATTTGATATGATAAGATTAAATTGTGTTCTATATTAAAAAATAAACCTTTAAATTGATAGGAAACAGTTTATCTGGGCTGATTTTATATTATTAATGGTTATACATATTGTGCATTTAGGCTCGATTAGTAACAAACAAAAAAGTCCTAAATAGCCACTACTTCTACTACTACTTCTCAGGGATTTTGCAAAGTATCCAGTCTTTCCTTTATTGGCAGTGCTGCAAATCTTTGGTAAAACAGGCTATAGTTTTAGTTATTTTGAGTTTTCCTTACTACAGGGTTTCCACTCTTTTTCACTGACAAAATTTCAAAACTTTTCCATGACTTTTTCATGACCTAAAGTGAATTTTTCATGAAATTACGGCACCTACATGTGTGGAATTGATCAGACTTTTAGGGCTAAATATAAATGTTAACTCTTTCCATTCACATTATGGTTTGGTATTATAGTTTTTTAACATTCAAAATCCTGTCAGTGCATTTATTGTCGTCCCTTTTAAACAAAAGACATTCAGAAATAATCATAGCAGCCTAATGATAATGCTGTAGTTGTGTGAAAAAGATACTAAAATTCCATTGCTTTTCTAGGCATGGAAAATTACATTTTCAATTTCCGTGAATTTTCCAGTGTTTGTTCATCGTTTTGAGAATCGACAATTCAAATAATCATGGAAATAAAGACAAAAAATAGATGAAAAAGTGTGTCCAAACTTTTGATTGGTATAGTGTAAGTTTAGTAGTTAGTAAATAGTCAGTAAGTTTACCAGTGCCTCCGCTCAATTTCATTTCTCTCCAGTGACGAGATCAGCAATTTAATACACTAGAGTATTCGCAAAAACCCTGGAAGCGTGAGGTCGGGCACCAGCCAATCAGCGAAGAGCCATACATTCTGTGTTGGCAACGATTCCTGACATCGAGGATTTAAAGCCGGAATAAAGAGAATGTTTGCCGATTTTTATCAAGGGGAAAGACGTTATTGCCCTTCTTCCTACGGGATTTGGGAAAAGCTTAATATACCAGTTAACCTCATTACATACGTCATGACCAAATAGCAGCAATAGGCGAGTTTCATTGTTGACAAAAGCGTGCGTTGCATGATGGGAAATATTTTAATCGGGGGCAAGAAACACTAATTCAACATGACGGATGGAGTGAGAAAGCACGTAAAGGGTATTGATCCCGGTTATTTATCCACTCTAACGGCAGAGGACCCAAGACCATTTGACCAGAAATTGGTCATAAGCATCGACGGACGCCAAATCACCCTTTTCAACCCCGACAAAAGGTGGACCAAACCAAATTTCTGGTCATTCACTTCGGCGATATCCACAATGACTTGGTGGAAACTCCTGGGCCATTCACAGCAGAAAAGATGAAAACCTCCAAGAGTCTTGACGCGTTGTTGAACTTGTTGGAGTCCACGGTTTGCTAGGATCTTCTACGTTTGCTCTGCGAATGTTTGAAAGCCGTTTAATTCACTTTTGGCGGTTCTTTTCACTCAGAATACGAAAAAGCCATTTTCCTTCTTCCGTGCTTCTATTTGTGCATCCGATAACGCAGCAGGAATTTACCATTATCGGGGAGAAATACGCGAGGTTACGCACTGTGTTTGACCGCTATCCTGTTTCTTGCCTCCGATCAAAATATTTCCCAGCATGCAACGCGGGCTTTTAATAACAATGACGTCAGCTGAAACCTCGCCTATTGGCTAGATTTTTAAAAAAGTACCCGTCTACCGTCGAGTGAGCGAATTCTAATGCTGCGAGATGAATCAGGTTATAAGTTTAGACCTTTTTTTTTTTTAAAAGGAGCAATTACAAACTACGTAAAAAACAAACAGGCTGTCTACTTGTATTTCTAAGTTAAAAATGACTTGCTTCCAGTGTAAACGCAGCAGTTATAAGATCCAAGAGGAGCAGATTTGGGCACTGTAGTACTTGGTGAGCATATACACAGCAGTACTCATGGACACAGAGTGGGATAGAGAGGGATAGGGTATCACCGCTAACCCCAAACACATTTACACATGACACTATGATGAATGACTCTCTCAGTGGGCTCTGGGCTTGTTCCTCCATTAGAAGCCCCCCTCCCAAGCAAGCCCACCCCCCCGCTCTTTTACCCCCGCTGCCCCTCCTTTACCCCGACACCGCTCCATCTGGACGTCCCACCTGGGGATAGCCCGTAGCACAGGGGTGTGGGAACAGATACCCCGGGACAGAGTGGTCAAAGGAGATAGGGCGACGCGTTAAAATGCAGTATGTGGTAACTGTACGTACCCTTGGACAAAGTCGCCCAAATGAAAGCTCGTGATTTATAGAGTATATAAGTAGAAACATATTTGTCTTTCTGTCATTGTGGGAGGGTATATGAGCTTTGTCTGTAGGTTTTAAGTATAATTCAACCTTCATATGGGATTTTTTTTGTTCGTTAACTTTGCAAACGTAGGGATATTTATGCTGAAGATGTAAGGCATGTTTGTCTATGGCGGAATGTTCAGCGGTTTTCACGGTGACACGATGTAAACGTCGGCGAACACAGGCAAAAAAGTTTTACGGTTGTCCGAAAACTCACGAAAAAATACAAAATGGATTTAAACAACACTAAACAAGTCTAAACTTGAGGAACAGACATAAGATAAAATTTTTCTTTGACTTTTTACGGCACCTGCATGTGTAGAATTGATCAGACTTTTAGGGCTAAATATGAAAACTTAACTCTTTCCACTCACATTATGGTTTGGTATTATAGTTTTTTAACATCCAAAATCCTGTCAGTGCATTTATTGTCGTCTCTTTTAAACAAAAAGGCGCATACGTTCAGAAATAATCATAATAGCTAGGGATGTAACGATATCCAAATCTCTTGGTACGATATTATCACGATATGCATCTCACGGTACTATTGCGATATTTTGAAGAGCTAAGATAAATGTAGATGGGACACTTTTTTGCTTTTAAAATACTTTGACAAGATTTTGGTGTGAATTATTTCCGTCGTAATCCCAAGAATTCAAGTAAAAAACGTTAACTTTGCCAATGTAGGGATATTTATGCTGAAGGTGTAATGCATGTATGTCTATGGTGGAATGATCAGTGGTTTTCATATTGACACAATGTAAATGTTGGCAAACACAGCCAAAAAAGTTTTACGACTGTCCGAAAACTCACGAAAAAATACAAAATGGATTTAAAAGACTACACTTGAGGCACACAGCTTCAGACAGAGCAGTGCCTCTAGCTTCGTGTGCGTGTGTGTGTGTAACGTACATTTGGTGACCACGCCCTCCAGGTGAATGATGTTGGGGTGGTCAAACTGGCCCATGATGCTGGCCTCAGACAGGAAGTCCCTCCTCTGCTTGTCCGTGTATCCCGCTTTGAGAGTTTTGATGGCCACGCAGATCTCCCTCTTCCCCGGCATCTTCAGTCGACCGCTGCACACCTCGCCGAATTCACCTGCAAAATGACAAGTGCAACGACAACATAAAGCTTTCGGTTGTGCTTAGGGTGACCAGACTTTTAAAATTCTAAACTGGAACACACACAGGTTGGTATGGTTGGTGTAAATAAAATTGTGAAAAGAGCGTTGGAGATTGTGCTTCTTGTGTCGGTCATAATCTTCTGTCACTGCATTTTTTTTGCTTTAAGATCATTTGCAAACACGGTTTTCTGTATTTTGGCTAAAAAAAAAATTACAATTTATGCTCCTCTTTACTGCTGGCTGGGATCAGATTAGTCAAACATTGTGATAGTCCAGTTTTAGTCCTAGTTTAGACCTGATGTAGTTCTGCGTTAATCTTAGTTTAGATCAAATTGGTCAAAAATAAGGACACCTGGGACATTTCTTGTAAAAAAATGGGAAAAAGCAATGGTTTTGAATAAATCTGCTGGGACAGGGGACACAGGGCTCAAAACTGGGACTGTCCCGAGTAAATAGGGACATCTGGTCACCTTAGTTGTGCTTCTCCAATTGTAAGCTTTTCAGTTTTAGTTTCAATTAGTGCACCTTTAACAGCTTAAAACTCCTATGTAACTTTTCTGATGAAGCTTGTCTCCATGGATATAGTATTACTTTACCTACACTGTTCATGTACAGCAAATTGTAGGCCCTGATTTAGTCCTTTAGCTCTCTTAAAACTGATTCAGATTTAGTTCCAGTTTTAGTCCTGATCTGGGCGCAGGTTCAAGACATTATAGTCCTGGTTTGGTCCTTTAGTTCTCTTAAAACTGGATCAAATTTAGTCCAGTTTTAGTCCTGATCTGGGCGCAGGTTCAAAGCATTATAGTCCTGGTTTAAGTCCTTTAGTTCTCTTAAAACTGGTTCAGATTTAGTCCAGTTTTAGTCTTGATCGGGGCCCGCGTTCATGGCATTACAGCCTTGGTTTGGTTCTTTAGCTCTCTTAAAACTGGATCAACTTTAGTCCAGTTTTAGTCCTGATCTGGGCGCAAGTTCAAGACATTATAGTCCTGGTTTAGTCCTTTAGTTCTCTTAAAACTGGTTCAGATTTAGTCCATTTTAAGTCCTGACTTGGGCCAGAATCCATGTTATTATAGTCCTAGTTTAGTCCTTGTTTAGCAGAAGTTCACACTGGTCCTTTTTTAATCACGCACCACATCCAAATTGGGCCTAAACTAGAACTACACTTAGACTAGACCAGGACTAAACCAAGACTAAAAAAAGACCAAACCACGTCTAAATCACAAGTCAAAACTAGGTTAGTTTAGTCATGGTTTAGATTTGGTGTAGTACCAAGATTGGATCTGGTTTAGACTGTTTAATTAAGTCCTTTTTTGGTCCTGTTTTAGGCTTGGCTTGTGGTTTTTTAAGTACTGGTTTAGTCCTGGTGGAGCACAAGATCAGATTTGGTTGAATGTTGTCTTGAATGAATACTTTAATCTCGACTTAGTTTGGGTCTAGTTTAGTCCAGGTTTAGTTCTGGTTTTAGTTCCGGTTTTAGTCCTGTTTTAGCCCACTCAGACCTGGTTCAGCCCCGGTTCATTCCTGCTTTAAACCCATTATAGCTCTTTGAACCTTGGTTTAGAATCGCCCCATTTGACTCTTAGACGGTTCTTCCAATGGCTCCTATATACATTTTACCTTAAACCACAAACCACCATCTCCTCTCTAAATTAAATCAGGTAGAGTGTTTTGTCTCGTGGGTTGATGGGAGGGCATTGATCAGCTCTCGACTCTGACCCCGCCTCTCGCCTGCCCACTGCCCACTGGAGCGGCGAACGAGGGGAAATGGCTATTGATCCTTCTCTGTATTATTCTGTCACAGGCTCACGGACCGCAGACAAATACAGATTTAGCTACACTATAGTTTTTTTTTTAACTCGCTGACCTATGAGAGAGAAAGAGAGAGACGCACTAACTGTTACTGTCGAGGAAAAGGATACACAGTGCAAACTCGCTGCATTTTTCATGTGAAATTTAAAAGGATCCTGTATTGATTTCTGCAATGTTTTCTCCATTTCCCTGACATCGATTTTGTATACATACGGTATGTAAATGAATAATATGGTAGGTCATTATTGTCAAATGATCAAATGACGTTTAGATTTTGATCATCTCCATTGAGACAAGCAAAACACCACCAGAAAAGTTACGCAGTGCACCTTTAACGGTAAATTATATAAATCATATAAATGTAGATAGGTCACTTTTTTGCTTTTAAAATATCATGACAAGATTTTCCTGTGAATTATTTCCATCATAATCCCAAGAATTCAAGTAAAAAAACATATTTCTTCATGTTGTCTGCACTGAAATGAATCATGGGATATGTAGTTCCCTTTGTTTATAAGCTGTTGCTACTATAAAACAATGCATTTAAGCAAAGGAACTTGTGATTCGATATATTGTGACAGCCCACGATGTTATTGTGAGACTTTTGATGATATGATATCACGATATTTTGGTTGTTACATCACTAGTATGTTCTTTTATTAGTCATGGTTACGTAGATACGGTGGTAGAATGTACAAGTACAAGTAGTAAAGTTCTGTACTTAAGACCTGCTGAAAAGGCTGAGGGTTCATTTTAACACATTTATAGTTTGAACAGCTGGAAAAACAATTCAGTTGTTTCTGTTGAGCAACGCGCAGCACAAATCTGTATCAAAACCACATTTGAAGCTTTATTAGATCTCAAAATACAGTGGTGTAGTGGGGATTTTTTTAGTGGGGGTAAACGATTTGTGACGTCATGAATCTCACCCACCTACACTCCTCACTGCTAGACTGGTTTAGTACTGGTTTAGTCCTGTTTTAGACCTGGTTTAGTCCCGTTTTAGACCTAGTTTAGTCCTGTTCTAGTCCTGTTTTAGTCCTGGTTCAGTCCCGGTTCAGTCCTGGTTCAGTCCTGGTTCAGTCCTGGTTCAGTCCTGGTTCAGTACTGCAGATATCATGAGCCTGTGTAGGTTATTTTCACCGGTGCCAATATCTCCAGTTTGACATTTAAGTTGTAGGATTTTTTATGTTTAGTATGTTTTTATATCTCATGTCAGGAGAAGAGGATGGGCGGCATACTCCCACGTACCACGCCCACTACATCCCTGTCCAAATCTGTACAAAATACCTTTACTTTTACTATTTAAAATTGAGTACTTCTTCCACCACAACTTAGATGTTAAAGGCTGCATACTCGTGTGAGTTTTAAACCATGTTAGAACATTGTTATCTCATCAGAAACATACCTGGAGTTGTGTTTTGTTTCATTTATACATTTGAGTAATCCTGCATTATTAGTTGTCTACGTCTCCAAAGCTCAAAATGCTTCACCTTGTGATGTCACGAAGTGGTAGTTCTCAGTTTTAAGCACTACCTTTTAGCTTTATTTCAGTAGAGAGTGTCAATTCCAGGTCTTAAATCATCCAAAATATTCTAGTGAAGGTGTATCGAGTGGTGTATGGAAAACAGTGGAGCACTTCCTGTATACCCCAGAGTGTTTTCCATTTGAGAAAAGAAATGTAAGTTTAAAAATGGGAGTTTTGTGTGGTAATCGTGCGTGGAAAAAAAAATAAAAAAAACTCCAGATATGTTTGCGATGAGGAAACAACATAACACAGATCAGAAAATAGTGTAATACGCGTCCTTTAACAAATACAGTGGAAAATACAACTGCATTGTACCTTTTGTGGGTTTGGGGCATTATTTTATTTATTTTTTTGTAGGATTAGTCAGTGAAATCTGAACACAGCCTAAATATGCAGTGTTTTTGTGTGAATGAAAACAAAAAAACCCACAACTCCAGGTCTGTTTTTGATGAGGAAACAATATAAAACAGATCAGAAAATAACGTAACACTGTATAGTGTGAATGGTCCTCACCAATGCCGATGACCTTCTCGATCTTGATGCACGATGCGTCGATCTCTTTGGCGAACTCCCTCACGGCCTGGTTCGGATCCTCGTAGGTGAACGGGTCCACGTAGATTCTCACTCCTGTAAAATGAGAAATATTTAAAACAAAGCAGGAACTGCGGGACGAAAAATAAACGCAGTACAAGAAATGAAAAAGAAATGAAACATGGAGGTTAATGTATTCCAGAGAGCGCTCCATCTGTTGTGGATTTCCTTTCTTCTCTCTCTCCATCAGGCTGGGCTCGTTAGGCGACATTTTGTGGGATGGAAAAGCAGCGGTGATGACCTGATAATGAGCTGTACGAAGCATGTTTGTGTACAAAAACATTCACTTCAAAATACTTGTTTCTTTGTTGACTTTGAGTTTTATGGGAGTAATTTGCGGTCTATGAAAAAAAAATGTTGTGATCACAGCTGATAGTGAAAGCTCGCCACATTTCTGCAGTGATGTCAGTTTATGTTGTATCGTACTCGTAACTGATAAAGAACAGTGTAAGTGATTATGTCCGTATGTTGTGATATTAAAGGCACAGTGTGTAACTGTGGAGATAAATCCGTGGATCACTTGTTCATTTGTTTTTCAATGTAAAACCAAAAATAAGAAAACAAAAAAAAACAACAATTTTCTTCATTATTTGTTTCCAAAACCAAAATGGGGAAAAAAAAAAAACTACACCAGGTCTGGGACCAGACAGGAACCAGACCAGGACTGAGACCAGGACTTAGGAGGACTGAGAGACCGGGACCAGGACTGAGACCGGGACCAGGACTGAGACCGGGACCGGGACCAGGACTGAGACCGGGACCGGGACCAGGACTGAGACCGGGACCGGGACCAGGACCAGATCGTGACTGAGACCAGGACTGAGACCGGCACCAGACCCGGACTGAGACCAGGACTTAGGAGGACTGAGACCGGGACCAGACTGACTGGGACTGAGACCAGGGACTGAGACCAGGACTGAGACCAGGACTGAGACCAGGACCAGGACCAGGAAGAGACCGGGACTGAGACCAAGACGGACCAACGGAGACGGACGGGACAGAACCGGGACCAAATCAGGACTGAGAACAGGACCAGACCAGAACCAGCCTACGATTGAGACCAGGACTAAGACTGGAACCAAACCAGTACTGAAAACGGTTTAGTCCTGATTTAGTCCTGGTTCAGTCCATTTGCGGCACAAAAGTCCGGCATCACAATTTAAGTCACGGAAACGGAAAACGGCTGTTATCCGTTTTTTCCATTGTTCATTTAAACACAAAATCAAAAAATAAAAGAAACAAATCATTATCCGTTTTTTCATTTTGGTTTTGGAGAAAAATAATGAAGAAAATAGTTGTTTTTTTGTTTGTCCGCAGTCTTTACCTACTCTAAGAGAAGGCTCACATTCACCCAATTTAAAAACCCCTGGGTTAGGCCATTGGTCTTATTGTATGTTTATATTTGTGTTACTTTTAGTCTTAAACTTTATTGATCCACACGATTTTGATTTGGACGCAGTAGCTCACACATCAAAGCAAAGAGCAAAAATATAAATGTTAAACCAAATTCAACATTCAACATCCATTTCAACATCCATTAAATAAATAAAACAATAGATAAATGGATAGATAATGGATAGATAAATATAGATATAGATAGAACAACAACAACATATGCATATAATGGATATAATGGATATATATCTATAGATCTATAGATCATACATACATGCATACATAGATAGATAATAGATGGATGGATGTATATAGAGTAGATGGACAGAGAGGCTCACCCTGGTGCAGGTGCTTCTCCTCGTCGGCGTCCTGTTTTGCCTTGCTGTATTTACTCCTTCTGGGGACAAACAGATGTTATCAGAGGGAGGACCACACCAGAATCATCTAAATGTTTCTGAGACAATCCACAAACATTCCAGCTCAAGAACAGAACAACCACAAATGTCTCTTCAAGATATGATGAAGAATTTCCAATTAGGACGAAACCAAATCCGAACCAAACCAAAAGTATAAACCAGTTTTGATGTAGGTCGGAAGATGGACTAAAATGAAAATGTAAAAGCAGCTCTTAAAGGTGCACTGTGTAACTTTTCAGTAATTGGGGGTCTGTCACCTTCTTGTTTATATGGATATGGATAGGGCTGGTGTCATACAGAAGTTGCTGATACGATACATACCTCGATACGTAGGCCACGATATGATACACATGTCAATACAGTGATCTTACGATTCAACATGATATATTTCAAATCAATTCAGTACGGTTCAATAAAAAATAAAGGCTAACTCATGGCTGTGATACTAAAAGTCTTTTTTAAACCATTTCTTGTGCAATGTTCAAATGAAACAAACATTTTAATCATCAAAACAGTGAAAATGTCAAATGTGTCGCATAAACGAGTTTCCTTCCTCTGGACAAGCAACAAAACTAGCACTGTAACAAAATAATTTAATAAAATATACCAATAAATACTCTTGGCGATATATCGATACAGCAGCCTATAATATCTATTCTGTATCAGCACATTAAATGATACGATATATCGATACTTCAGTATTTTTGCACACCTCTAGATATGAATGACATGAACCAGCTCTACCTTACATTTATTCAATACATTCATCCCAAATTTTGGGATGAATGTATTGATTTCCCAGTGGGATGCGTCTATTGTCAAAGCTGATCTTTTCAAGTCTTTTAAACCATATCGCTTTTGTTTCTGGTTCTGATATTGTCATATTTTAGTCATGGGATTCAGACATCATAATTGTGTGGTTGTTGGATCCTAACAGCGGAAAACCGGCTTAGGTAGTTTACGAAAATAACGGCAAAAGGGAATCAGATCTGTGTGACTGCAAACGTCCATTCAAACTGTTTCCCAGTGGAAATGAAAAATAGTGAAAGGCAAAGGTGATGGGCAGTATTGATACACAGGAAGGTAACCTTTAACTGCCTAAGAATTCATCCCGAGTTTTCAGTGACCATTTAGTATGTAGAGCGCTATCAAAGCAAAATCCCATTTGTTAAGTCAGAGGTACAGAAAACGAGCAGACTGAGTTCGCACTTTCTTGTTCTTGTGGTTTTACAGCAACATCACGTCTCTGGTCGCTTTGCAGTGGAAGGTGTTTCTTGGCGAACAGCTGGTGGCTTTCGCTTTGGCATTGACTTTTTGGGATTTTGCTTTGATGGCGCTCCACACACAAAATGTTCGCTGCAAACTCGGGATGATTTCTTAGGCAGTCTAAGGTTACCGTTTTCGTCCTTCCTGTGGATCAATACTCCTTCGCCTTTCACTGTTTTTCAATTCCATTGGGAAACAGTTTGAAAAGAGGTTTGCAGTCACACAGATCTGATTCCCTTTTGCATTTCTTGAGCCGTTTTCCGCTGTTAGGACATCCAACAACCGCACAATAACGATGTCCGAATCCCATGACTAAAATATGACAATATCAGAACCAGAAACAAAAGCGATATCCACTGAAGACTTGAAAAAAGATCGGCTTTGTCAATAGACGCATCCCACTGGGAAATCAAACGTGGCGATGCTCATTTGATGCTCATTTTTTCAGAGGGCCCTTCCCAGTACGCATTGCACAAAGACCCGAAGTCTGACATTTGGGATGCATGTATTACAGGTGGTTTTATAGCTCCCCTCGCCTCTGCGCAGATCTGACCTGAAACGTGGCCTAGTTTGATTTCCACGCAGAAGAGACACGGCGCACCTTTAACGACGTCGCTCTTTCCGCTGAACGTTTTCAAGATATCTGAAGGGCATTCTGCATACGCCAATAAAATGTCGAAACGGCCCCTAAGCTCCGAGGCTCGGTTTGAATCATGGAGAAGATGGAGCTAAATCCCCCCATCAGCCTGACACCTGTGCCCAGGAGAGAGCACCGGGTCTGGGGGGGGAGTGACCAGATGTGGGGGGGACAATGAGACGAGTCCCGGAGCCTCGGCTGTAATGATGCGACATGATTACATCCACGCCCACCTCCACCAAACAATGAGACCGAAATGTACAGCGCGCATATGAAACAGCCACCTGCTACGGAGGGACGGAGAGGGGGAAGGGAGGACAAAAAACAAAAAAAAAGAGAGAGAGAAAGAAAAGAGGAGGACGAAATAAGAGAAAGATAGGATGGATCGTGAGATGGGGCATTGGGGTAGAGAGGGAAACAGAAAGCTGAAATATAAAAGAACGAGAGATTGGGAGTGAGAGAGGAGAAGAGAGGGTGAAAGAAAAGGAAGAGAGAGAGGCGAAGAGAGGAAAAAAGAAGAGAGAAAGAGGGAGAAGGGGGAAGAGGATGACAAAATGAGTGAGAGAAAGAAGAGAGGGAGGACAAAATGAGGGAAAGATTGGATAGATGGAGAGAGGGGGCGTAACAGAAAGGGGAAAGACAGAAGAACGAGAGATTGTGAGCGAGAGAGAGGAGAAGAGAGAGAGAAAGAAGAGAGATAGAGGGAGGAAGGGGAAGGGGAGGACAAAATGAGACAGAGAAAGAAGAGAGAGAGAGGACAAAATGAGAGAAAGATAGGATAGATGGAGAGAGAGAGAGAGATGGGAGGGTGTATTGGGGAGAGATGGAACCAGAAAGGGGAAAGATAGAAGAAGGAGAGATAGGGAGGGAGGGATAGAGAAAGAGACAAAGAGGTAAAGAGGGGGATGGACAAAAGGAGAGAAAGATAGGAGAGATGGAGAGAGAGAGATGAAAGAGTGAAATGGAGAGAGAGGGAAACATAAAAGGGAAAGATAGAAGAAGGAGAGATAGGGAGTGAGAGAGAGAGAGGTGAAGAGAGGGAGAACGAAAAGAGGGCACTGGGGGAGAGAGGGAAACAGCGAGAGGAAAGATAGAAGAGAGAGAGGTGAAGAGAGGGAGAAATAGAGAGAGAGCAAGAAGGGAGGAGAGAGAGGTGGAGAGAAGGAGGAAAGAAAGGAAGAAAGAGAGAGAGAGAGAGAAGGGGGAAGAGCTTTAGAGGAAGGGGGGTAGGAGAGAAGAGAGAGAAAAAGTGAGCGGGGTAAGAAAGGGAGAAAGAAAAGAGAGAGGGGGTGAGAGAAAGGGGGTTAGGGGGAAGAGAGAGAGAAAGAGTGAGGGGGTAAGAAAGTGAGGGACAAAATAGGGGATGAAAAAGAGAGATGAGAAAGGAATTTAGTGGGAGAGGGGGAAATGATTGGGAGAGAGAGAGAGAGAGAGAGAGAAGGGGGGCAAAGAGAGAAGAGAAAAAAAAGAAAGAAAAGAGGAGAGAGCTGCTCGGAGTCCCTGTGCCGCTCTAATATGCAAACACAATGCAAACGTCCTGGTGGGCAGCACACACTTCATTTGCATATTAAAAAGATGCAACTGAAAAACGCACGTGCTTCTCAAACTGCGGTCGCCGTACAACAACGTCTTTAATCAAGCCCAGATTTATGGCCTTCAAATCTACTCTAGTCCTTCATTTGTATTTTGCCGCCCTCTCGTCTCCATGGAGATCGCTTAGCCTGAAATGTTTCACAGTATTTCATTAAACGTATCTGTCTCCATGGTAACAAGCAGGTGACGTACTGTCTTTTATGGAAAAATCTTGTTTTAGCTCTAGTTTTGATGTCTGTAAACATGGTCTGAAATTCATGAGATTCTTGAATTAATTTGTCAGCTCGTATTTCAGTTTTTCTCAAATGTTAATGGCTCTTATTGTAAAGATGCATTGTGGAACTTTTTTTTTTTTTTTTGTAAGGCTTTTCAAATGCTTTTCTCTCTGGAGTGTTTCACAGTATGGCTTTAAACCTTTCTATCTTCATGGAGACCAAACCAGACCAAGTTACAGGTCAGATCTGTGGAGAGGCGACCCCGCTCACAGTCAGAATTAGGGGTATAAGAAAGAATCGATCAGTGATACATCGTTATATTTCAATGCACAATTCTTGAATCCATCCAAAATACAATTAAATCAGTTTTTTTGCGGTGTGTTAATGACATGCACTGCTCTCATGAGAGAAAAAAAATAAAAATCTATTTCATACAGTGTTGTTGAGTATATTATTAGAAGTAGGAGTGTGCAAAAATATTGAAATATCCATATATCGTATCGTTTAATGTGATGATACAGTATCAATATCGTGGACTGCTGTAACGATACATCGCCACGAGTATTTTTTGGTATATTTTACTAAATAATCTTTTACAGAGCTACAGTTTTGTTGCTTGTTCAGAGGAAAGAAACTTTTTTATGTGGCACATTTGACATTTTCACTGTTTTGATGGTTTGTGTTTCATATTCACTTTGCACAAGAAGTGGTTTAACAAAGACTTTTAGTATCATAGCCACGATTTAGCCTTTATTTTTTACTGAACCATATCGAATCGATTTGAAATATATCGTATCGAACTGAAAGTGCACTGTACCAAGATATGTATCGTATCATCGGCCTATGTATCCAGGTATGTATCGTATTGGCAACCTTCTTAATGATATCCAGCCCTAATTAGAAGCAATTATTGATAAATCACATTGCATCCTACACTGTTTTAGTATTGGGATACATCGTGATATATCGAATCTTGACATGCATTTTATGATGTGTTTTGTATCGTCAGGCTCAATGCGACGCACACCCCTTGTCAGAATGCCTTGTTTTTCTCTGTAGTTTTGAGCAATAAAACCAACTGTAATTTAGTAAAACTGTTTAATGTCATAGTGTGGAACATTCCAGGTAGAGCAATGCAGAGGTGGAACCAAGTCTTTATTTTGTAAGTCTCAAGTCTTTGACCTCAAGACCGAGTCAAGTCCCAAGTCAAAAACAGGCAGGTCCAAGTCGAGTCTCGAGTCACTGACCCATAAGTTCAAGTCCAAGTCGTCTACTTTGAGCTTCAAGTCATTTCAAGCTTACACTTTTGCAATTTATATTACGTTTAACATAAATAGTTCTTAAAAAGTCATAGTATATTTATATATGAGTATTTATATAAGAGTTGTAGAAAATAATTTAGTTCATTAGTCTTTTTTAAATGTCTTGACAAGATGTTGGGGTAAATTGTGTCATTATGGTCAGAATAGAAAGAATTCAGATTTAAAAGCGCTTCTCAAGTCACAGGCTTCAAGTCCAAGTCGAGTCCCAAGTCTTAGTCTGTTTTATCAAGTCTCAAGTCCTAAAAATAGTGACTCAAGTCTGACTCGAGCCCCAGTCACGACTTGCAAGTCCCACCTCTGGAGCAATGACATATCCATAGAAACAAGCAGGTGACGGACCCCCAACCGAAGTTACACAGTGCACCTTTAAATCTGCACTCTAAACATAATCTTAAATACAAATTCCAAATCGCAAATTGCAATTTCATTTTGTTTTTCCCAATCGTGCAGCTCCAGTTCACAGATATTAGACTTGTTGCAAATCCGGACAACCACTGCCCTGCTCTATTCCAGTCAGATAAACATACTGAAATTGATTCCTCTCCCTTCCCCCACAGTCACACACACACACACACGCACACACACAAACACGCGCAAACACACACACATTAGACAGCTATAGGAAATGATTAACAGCCCGAGGAGAGAAAGCCCCATATGCATGTAATCCTATCTGTGACTGTCCTGTTCACCGCTAACCAGCTCTGATTGGACGACTACAAATCCACCTGATGCCCTTCTCTCGCTTTTTCTCTCCAATCTTTCTCACTTCCTCTCGTTCTCTCTCTCTGAGCAAAAAAATCGGGTAAAATCGTATTATTTTTGCATATTTCCAAACCAGTTTTCTCAATAACTCAGCGTGAAAAAAAACTTTAAACCGGAGTTACATAAAAAGGCAGGGCAGAGATGACAGCTTGGAGCTTTCCGATTACATCTGGGCCGCTGTCTGACCTGTCAATCACGTCGCCGGCGGCAACACATCATCCGTCTACTGTGTGTGCTGACAGTGCTAACCAAGACGTCGGACATCTTGGGGAGGTACAGGAAACGGGAAGTCTTACCTGCGGCTGATGACGAAAGCGCTGATGAGGATGAGGAGGAGGACCACGCTGCCCACGACGGACACCAGCAGGACGGTCGAGTTAGCTCCATCTCCAATGATCGGGGCGGGGACTGTGGAAAACAGGGAGAAAGTCAGTACATTAGAGTTATTTAAAAGTGTACACACAGCAAAAACTGGAGGGTTAAAATTTCAGGGTAAAATATTTCTGAAAAAGTGTTATTTTAACTATTTGAAAATTAAATGGGGGTTCGAGTTGGGGTTATGTGCCAGAGTTGATATGGTTGAAGTTAATTCAACTTTCCCTAGTGTTAATTCAAAGTCCCCAAATGTTAATTCAACTGCCCTTAGTGTTAATTCAACTTCCCTTAGTGTTAATTTGGCACCAGAGAAGACCAGTTTGAAACACTTTTGTACATAACTTCATCTTAAATTAACTAAAATAAAGTGTAAAAATAAAACACCTCTGTGTGTTGGTTCACTAAATCAGGATAACCCTTCAAAGTATTATACGTTTACTCTCAAATACTTAATATAACTATTGATTTTGGGGTTAAACAGGAACTTTGGTCCAGTGTTACTTAATTAACATTTTCCAAAAATGTTAAATTAACTCTAGAACAGATTGGACTCATATAAACCCTGAGAAAATGTTAAAATTGATTCTGTGAGACTCAATTTTAACACTAAATTTAAAAAAAAATCCATATACTATTACTATATTATTATTTGTATATTTATTTATTTATTTTTATTTTTTTTATTTAATATCTATTTGAAAATGTGGGTCAGTTCATACCTAGATTAATAATTTGAATAATTTGTAAGTTTAATGGTAAAAAAAAACCCCCCAAAAAAACACTGCGACATATCATATTAAGATGATAAAACAGAACTAAACCAGGTCTAAACTAGGAATGCACCAATCCGATACCGGTACTGGACCATTTACTGGATTGGATATCAGCTTCAAAATATCGGTTCAGTTGATATTCTCTTTAGACTTAGATTTAGACAGACTTTATTGATCCACAAGGGAACTTAGACTTATTACTTAGACATATTACTTTGGAATTACTTTGGACATAAACAATAAGTAATAGAAAGTATAATACAGTAATAAGTAATATTAACTGGTCGTAATCGGCATAGAAACCCTCATAATGTTTGACCTTTTTTCACGGACTTCTATTCTGATAAATTACAGCTACATAACACATTTGGATCAGTTTTGTCTTATTTTTTTTTTTAGTTTAAAGGAAATAAATGCACTTTTCAGTCTGTGCTGGTATCGGCTGATATCGGGAATCAGCACATACTTAAAACCAGAGTATCAGAATCGTATCAGAACTGAAAAAGCTGGATCGGTGCATCCCTAGTCTCTCATTGGACTTATCGATGGATATGAATTTGGAATAACATTTTATAAAGTATACATAAAAGGCAAACCGGTTAAGTACTTGCACCACAGCTTGAAAACCATTACATTAAAGTCCTTATTCAAACCCGGGTATGGCACTGGTTTACATCTGAAACCTGATTTACTCCTTATTTAATCTGGTTTAGTCCTTTTTTGTCCTGGTCAGATCTTTAAGGGTGAGTTCACACTTGCATACGCATTAATATTGGAACTAAACCCCGAGATAAAGCTGGACTTGAGAAGGACTAAGCCGGAACAATAACCGGACCAACCCAAGTCTACGTCTCGAAACCAGGCTCAAACCATTAGGCGCTCACACCCACATGTTTTACACAGTATTTCAAATGCTCCTGTGCCTCCATTTTACCAGCGCAGCCCGTCAACAGCCCCATTCTGCATGACTCATTTACAGACAATGACAGGCCAATAGGCTGTGTGTTTTTGTACCATGTTTATAATTAAGTAGCTTCTCTGGCTTCACAAAAGGGACACCTGTGCTTACTCTACTGTGACTACCAACATTATAATCCCTCTTCAGATCGGATGTATGTTCAAAAGCCCATATTATAACGTTGTTTCCTTGTCACGAACATACCTCGAGTTGTGTTTTGTTTCATTCACACACGTTTAATACTCAAATCTTACATATTTAGGCTGAGTTCTTCTAACAAACTGAAAACACGCAGTTCTACATAGTGATGCCATGGGAAGGAAGTGCTCCTTTGTGTTTTTAAAGCCCATACACCACTCTGGAATAGATGCATCAAGAATTTCGGACTTCCGGTCATTGCGCAATGCATACTGGGAAGGATTTTCCTAAAAAGCGAGCATTAAACCTCCATGTTTTTTTCCCACTGGGTCTTTTCTAGTTTTTTGAACCATTTCGCTTTTGTTTCTGGTTCTGATATTGTCATATTTTAGTTTTGGGATTCAGACATCGTGTGGTTGTTGGATGTCCTAACACCAGAAAATGGCTCGAGAAATTTGTTTGCGAACTCCGTAAATGCAAAAGGGAATCAGATGTGTGTGACTGCAAACCTCCGTTCAAACTGTTTCCCTTCCCAAAGGAATTGAAAAATAGTGAAAGGCAAAGACAATGGGCAGGATTGATACACAGGAAGGACCAAAACCTTTGACCGCCTAAATCATCCCGAGTTTGCAGTGAACATTTTGTATGTGGAGCGCCAACAAAGTAAAATGCCGATCCCTCGCTCCACCTTGGTTACGAATTTAAAAACTCAACGCCAAAGCGAAAGGCACCAACTGTTCGCCAAGAAACACCTTCCACTGCAAAGCGATCAAGACGTGATGTTGCGTAAAGCCACAAGAACAAGAAAGTGCGAGCTCAGTCTGTTTGTCTTCTGTACCTCTCGCTCAACAAACGGGATCCTGCTAGACACTAAAACTGTAGCCACCATAGTCCAATTCTAATGTTAAAATGCCACTGTGTAACATTTTTGACAAGCACATGATGAGCCCCCACTAAAAAGTTACATAGTGTACCTTTAATATTAATTTTATGATGATTATTTGTATTTTGATTATGATTTTAATCTCTTTCTTATTCTGTAAAGCCTTTTGAAAACAGAAAGTCTCACTCTGGTTGTCCCCGTGCCCTCGTTGTGTATCTGGGTGTGTTGCGGTGAGACGCACAAAAGCCCGACTTACCAGAGTTAGTCATGAACTCAAAGGGAGCGCTGAAGTCTCCGTACCCGGCGGCGGTCCGAGCTCTGACGTGAAAGACGTACGACGTGAGCGGGGTCAACCCTTTAATGTCCGTGTGACGGGACGCCGTTTTGATGATCCTGTAGCTGCGTTCATTCTGGTCCTGTAAACAAAAATGGAATCGTCATGTGTTTTTGTTTTATATTCACAATATAACACACGCAATAACACACAATAAGGTCTTATATAACACAAAAATGACCCTTGTGAGCTTCTAATCATGTTATAATGTTTCCTCATCAAAAACGTATCTGGATTTTTGTTTTGTTTCAATCACGCATGTTTGAGTAATCCTGCATTTTATTTTTGTCTGTCTTCACCTCAAAAGCTCAGAATACTTTGTTCCATCAAGTTAACAGTTACCTTTTGCATTTTGTTAAGTAGAGATTTGCGATTCCAGCCTGAAATTGTCCAAATGATTTTAGTGAAGGTGTATAATCTTAAAAACACAGGGGAACACATCCTGTATTACTGCATTACATCACAAGGAGGAATAAAGTGACTTCAGTTTGAAAAAAGAACTCAAACTCAGCCTAAATATGCACGGTTTGTGTATTAAACATATGTGAATGAAACAAAACACAACTCCAGGTATGTTTGTGACGAGGAAACATGATCACAGAGATCAGAAACGCAAAAGAGAATGTTTCTGCAAGACTCACGCTTGGTTGAAAAAATAAATAAAGACAAATAAATAAATAAAAATGTAAACCACTGAAACACAACAAAAGATGTTATAGTAAATCTTCTGTGCCAAGTCAACAACCTTTTCTTTACAACTTTGTGTGTGTATGAATGGAAAATCGAACCCACAAAATGGTCAAAACATACACATACAACATCACTCCATCACTCCATAGCCCGAAGCCCTTTTCCTCTATATAAACCCCTATTAAAGTTTCACTGCGGGACATTACCTTTTCATAGTATTTGACCTCGTACTCCAGGATGACCCCATTGGCTCGCTCCGGTGCCTGCCACGCCAGAGAGATGGTGTGTCTGGTGATGTCCTTCGCTTGGATGGACGTCACTGGAGACGGAGCTAAAGAAAAAGGAAAAGAAGGATTAAGTATTTTTTCAAAGTACAAATGGCAGTTTTCATGTTTTTCTAATTATGACTCGGTTTGCTGGGATAGTCCTTGTGGTGAATATTTATTGTAGTTTTACATCACAGTTAAAGGCGCATTGTGTCATTTTTCTGGTTGAAGGTCCATCACCTGCTTGTTTCTATGGATATGTCTATATTCTTCTGCCTGGAATGTTCCACAGTATGACATTAAACAGCTCTACCTTATATTTATTCAATTACAGGTGGTTTTATAGCTCAAAAACACCTAAAAAAACAGACAATCTGACAAATCTTGGAACTGGTTTGGTCTCCATGAAGATAGAAAGGTTTACTGTGAAACATTCCAGATGAAGCAACCAAATTTCCACAAAGAAAAGCATTTGACGGGCTCTCCACCAGAAAAGTTACAAAATGCATACATACCAATACACTGTGCGATATTTTCGATTATTTCACTCAGCTCCACCTCAAACTGTACAAGCAAATCGCAGGGTTTAAAAGTTCACAGCTCACGATTCATGTTCTTACACTATACGGACTACATCAACAGTGCCAAACCCTCATTTCGAACAGGTTTGATATTCTTGCGACCTATGATTGCCGATCGGGAGCTGGTTGTGAGGTATTAATCGATTCTCGTTATCCCGTGTATACTCCATGAAACACAACACATGATTAAGAGAAAACTCGGCCCGATCCCAAAAACTAGCCTTATTCATCAGCTGGTTTCACTTCGTAGAAACCGTCTGACCTCACAGCATTAGGATTCGCTCGCTCCATGGTAGGCAGGTACTTTTTTCATTTACCCAATCGGTGCTATTTGGTCGTGACATATGTAACGCGCCACTAACAAGGCTAACTGGTATATTAAGCTTTTGCCAAATCCCGTAGGAAGACGGGCAATAACATCTTTCCCCTTGATGAAATTCACCAACATTCTCTTTGTTCTGGCTTTAAATCCTTAATCTCGGGAATCGTGGCCTGACACAGAATGTATGTCTCTTCGCAGATTGGCTGGTGCCTGAACTCGCACTTCTGTGTTTTTTGTAAACTAGTGTATTCTGATTCCTGACCTAGTCGCTGTAGAGAAATGGAATTGAGTTTAGGCACTAGCCAGCCTGGCTACCCAAAAACTGTTGCATGAATGAAAACTCAGCTCAAAAAGGGCCAAAAATCGCACAGTGTACATTCGGCTTAAGTGGCAGTTTGTGAAAATTTGAAAAAAAAAGTACAAAAATACAGGAAGTAGCAGTGAGTACTAAAACGAAATACCTCTACCTTTAACATCAACAAAAAAAATTCCATCCAAAATCTAATTTACATGCAAGATTTACAGTTTAAACTTCCATTTAACAAAATAAAGGCGTTGTCATTTATTTGCATTAGTCTAATCATAACTATAATGCAATTTAGACAGGTTTTGGCCTTGTAAACATTATGGTTGCTAGGTAACAGTTATTGAATTATACCTGTACGCGTGTCATATCTGCGGCCTGTGTCCAACCAGGAAGTCAAATTATAAACAGCACAATTTAAAAACTAGAAAACTCAGAAAGATTCTTAGTCAAATCTGAAATATTAGTGATTGTGTAGTCTAATATGTCATATGTACTTTAAGCATGACGTTTTGTGGAAGAGTCATATTTTGAAACAGTGGAGTCACAGAGTCTGTAGCTCCTGCTGTGAAACACCAGAACTGAGCCAGGCGATGAGGCAATCACTTCTGTCTGTATGTGAGTCTGGCACCGGGTCGGATAAAAAAAGAACAAAAAAAAGTTTTATTTGAATTTAGAAGAAAGAGTCAAATGTTTTCACACCATGAAACCACCTCAGGACATTTGGGGATCTTAAAACTGAAATTATATATAAGAAAATATATGAAAAAAAAAAAATCAAGCTTTTTGAGATTAAAAACAAAATAGATTGAATGATGTCATTTCGAGAACCATATGCAAGCAACTTCAGGGACACACTTTTTACCCAGAGAAACAGCTAACGGTGACTATCCCTGATTGAAAATTATAGCATCTGATTCATAATTTGAAGTTACTGTAGTGTAATATGAGGGACAACACACCAAATAACGCACAAAACCTGGTATTTTCAGTGGATAGAAAAACGAGAAAAAGTGGAAACTGAAGGAGCAGTGCAAGAAACACAAATGTTCTAATCATTTCATATTGTTAACATAAAGCTTTTGTTACTTGTAGACTTAGGTGACGTTCAGACTGTAGCCTGAAGTGACCCAAATCAGATTTTTTCACCCCTACGCAACCTGTTTCTGATCTTTTAATGGCACAGATCCAATTTTTTTAAACGCAACCCAGGCCACTTGGATATGTGCTCCTAAAACTGATATATATCCGATCATTTGACATGTGACTTCTGTCAGGTAGAAACAGAGGGAGGACCCAAAATGCAGGACTGCTTTAAAGTATTTAATAACAAATCCATAAATCCAAAAAATCCAAAACTCGAAACTGTGACTTTGCAAAACTCTTGACTTGTGCCATGACACGAGACAAGATGAGACTCTGACAGTGACGACGGACCAACAAAGGGCAGAGGAGAACACAGGGTACAAAAGCACACAGACACAGGTGAACACAGTAGGGCGGGGCAAACAATCAAGACAGGAAGTAAAATTCAAAACTACAAGCAGACACGACTAATGTCAATAAAACACCAAAATGAGCAAATATAACCACTACAAACATGAACCCTGACAACTTCAGTCTGAACGGCCAGGTCACATTCATCTCACCTACACGTCAGGCTCAGAGTCTAGTCAGTGAAGGGAAAGCGAGGTTTGTGAGTTCATTAATATTTGGGGGGATCCTTGTATTCAGGCCAAATTGGAGGGTCTTATCGGTACCAGGCGATTTTTGAAATGATTGCCAAAGAAATGTTCTACAGGCGGTCCTGCTCCAATGTCAACGAAAAAAATAAAGAGCCTGCGAACCAAATACAAGGAGGCTAAAGACTCAAACAAACGGAGCGGCCGTGGACGTGTAACCTGTCCATTTTACGAAGAACTAGACCGTATTTTGGGAGACAAGCCCAGCGTTTAGGCGACTTCCGTAAACTCTGAGCTCGCTCTCTGCATGTGACATCGTCGTGTCCTCCAGTGCACATGCGGGACACTTTGGAGGAGTTTAAAGTTCACACTGGAGATCACATACAAGTGGCATTTAATTAGAAATGTGAAAAAAATTGGATTTCACAAAAAATTCAAATTGAGCATTAAGCCCTGTATTCTAAGCCTTACTCACAGTGGGACGAAAACCAAACTTACCAACCGTACTGTTACTTCAATGAAAAAATATTAAGTAGGTGCTGCTACAGTCCTCTCAAAAGTAAGATAACTCTTTTATCTGAAGAATCAAGTACAAATAATTCAGTAAATGTAATCCTGGACTACCCACATCTGTTGTTATCCATTATCCATAAGGTACAGTTCAAGTTACGTTTGCATATTTTTAGTGTCTATCTCTTCCCCCTTCTGGATTTGTCTGTGTCTGGGACCAATCACTGTACATAAAACTCCTCTGAAAACCTAAAAAGTTATTCGAGTAAATGTGCCTCTGGACCACCCACATCTGTTGTCATGCCATGTCAATAATATTACAAGTTTCAGTTCACATTTGCATATTTTTAGTGTCTGGATCTGCCTTTTGTCTGGAAGTGATCACTGTATCACCCACTTCCAGCTCCGTCACGCTCTCCGAAGATGAAGTGTGTTTGATTTGCGACGCGGTGACACTGGGGCGGGTGGAGACAAGCGCGTGAGGCATTATCAGCGCTTTAACCTTCACGTGCTAAAGGCGTCCAGCGCGGGAGCAGAACGTAGCCTGTGAAATATGGCCTCATTATCGGCCGAGGCACAAAAGAGTGGAGATAACATCGTTCACTGGGGTTTAATGAAAGCCAATTGATTTGCGCTCCACAAAACACAAAAGGTAAAAAGGTAAAGAGCTCATTTTAGACGGTTAGGGGTAATGGTATACGTATTCAAGGGCGACTGGGGCGGCAAAAAGGATGTAAGATAAGATAAGATCCAATAGAGGATAATGCAAAGATGTTATTTGTGTAATTTCATATCAGGTTTGATTGGTTTTTGTCAAGAGTTCATAAAGTCTGAGCTTAGAATCAGTTTAGATCTGGATAAAGTGAGTATGATGTTCTGATGATTCTCATATTTTTACTTAATTTGGTAGAATAATGTCGGCTGTAAATATAAATTATACTTTTACACAAATCAAGAAGAAATTTGTGAAGAAAAAAAAGTAGAGAGTTCTGTTTTAGAGAGTGCCATACTGATGCCATCACATTAGGAGAATTTTGTCCAAAAGTTCAGCACAATTTACACAAGAAATTCACTTGCAGCGCTGGGCTAAAATAAAAAAATATTAATCGCATTAATCGCATGTTATACACAGAACCAATTAATGACTTAAAAAGTAGCATATAGTGCACTTTTATTGGAAATGTAAACAAAAGTGCCATACATTTGTTGTGCAAACAGCATTTCTCTATACAGGAGCAGGGAACTAGTCTGTAAATTCCATGTTTATACTTCTTCCTTTGGAGAATTTTACTCAAATAAAGAACCAATTTCAGTGCAGTTTGTCAATTCCTAGATTTTTGACTTAATGAATTGAATTCAAAAGTAAAGTGCATGTGATCAGCAGCAGTAAAAGAAAGTATTCAGTGTAAATCTCAACTGAAAAAATCTAATCAAACCAAATACAAAACTCAAATGTCATGTCACTGCCAGGGTTATGCTGTTTGATATAAAAATGAGAATCTCAATCAAAAACAGTAACTTTCAGTGCAGTTTGTCAATTCCTAGAACTTTTTAATTTTTTTTTTTTTTACTTTTCTGAACAAAGCAAGTTGCTAAGGCATACACAATCATTATTATTATTATTAAGAATGCGATCGCTGGCACCAGTTTCAAATTTTTTACTATA